GCTCACGCATGAATCTAACAAATTTCCGACCTTCGAAAATTGACGCGACTTTTCCTCCTTTTTCGCGGTCGATTTTGGAGACGGAGTGTAATTGTACAACACCGCGAACATTAACACAAGAACATTAATTGTTACACTGAACACGTCTCTCGAGCCGGATCCAATTCGGCAACGCTGCGAAACGCCTCCACTCTTCTGGTTTCTCCACAACCACCATCTATCGCAACAATCTGACGGCTCGGCATCCAGCGCGTCTGAGGCGAACACGATGGCATTGTCAATATCGTCATGATCGATCTCGTTCTGATCCTGGCTATCAAGCTGGCGCTCTATCTGTCGGCTCGCGCTGCACTTCCTTTCCTCTTCGGACAGGCACGGCATGCCTCGCTCGATGTTAGCGCGAAATCCGTCACATCTCTACCCACGCCAGCAACCGCCCGCGCGTCGACTAACTCTGCAACGTTTCATTCCGACTCGATACACGATGACGAAGATGACGATTACCGGCTCGGCTCCAGCGCAACAGATCGGTCTCCATTTCTGGCCATCAATAAGGGATCGATGCTGCCCTCCTGGCCTCAACTAAAAGCTTCAATGCTTACGCCCGTACGGATCCGAAACTCGCAGGGTAGCTTGGACCTTGCGAGCGTGTCGGCACTCCTGTTTTCTCTCGCATTTGCCGAAGCAGCATCCCTCTTTGTCGCCGTTTTGCTCGAGACGGCAGGCTTCCCAGCTGGCAACGGAACCACGCTTCGACAGGTGTGGCGCTTCGACTTGGCCGCCGTTCAAGCGCTGGCGATTGTTCTCATCCCGCTTGCCGTGTGCTTGCTGTTCACTTACCGTAGCAACACCTCGACGCCTCTGCCTCGACGCATCACCTATTTGCTGCTTCCCTTCGTGCCCTGGCTCGTGCTCTTCTTCAAGGTTCCGCTTCCGAGCGCATTGTTGGACAAGCGGAGCGGTGCAGGCATTTTGGATGGTCTCATGGCAAGGACAGCTGTCATCGGCGTTAGCTTCATCGCCATCCTATCGGGGTCTGCAGCCCTTCAGGCTGCTTGGGAAGCGGTCGAGCACTTTCAAGGCAAGCAACAACGCCCGCCATCGCAGAGCGATATTCGCTTGGCGCAAGAATCGTTCCAGAGAACTTGCTCCGACCTCGCCTTGAGGAAGACGGATTTGGCGCGGCTTGAAGGCGAAACGCCTGATCGTAGCTCGACTAATTGGAGCGTCTCGAGCCTCTGGGGAGGCGACAGTCGATCCAGAGACATCAAGTCCCTCAAGTCGGAGATCTTTGGTCTCTCCTCCATCGCCACGGCTATGCGCGACGACTTGGATCGAATGACATCGCTGCAGCACAAGGACAAGCTCAACAGCACCATTATCGGCAAAGTTTGGATCCTCGTCGGTTGGGTGTGGGCGGCGTATTGCGCCTTTCGAATTGCACTGTCCCTGCTCAATCTCCTCGTCCTCGGGTACAAAGACACGGCTCCACCAGACTTTATCTCGCTCTCGGTTGCCTACATCATCCGCATATTCGACGTTGACCTCGACGTGGCTGCATGGACGAAACAAGTCTCGCTGCTGTTTGTCGGCGTGCTGATCTGGGGAAGAATCGGGAATGTTCTCAGCTACCTCGGCTCTGCCTTCCGTGCAGCTGGCACAGGAGTTTCAAGCTCCTTCCTTGTCTTGTTCCTTGCCGAAATCATGACTATCTATCTGCTGGCCACCTTGATCCAGCTTCGTTCGTCACTGCCAGCTCCGGTCTCGGTTCCACCCTCTCCCAGAGCTCTTGCAGATGAGAGCTCCCCTCCTCTGCTCGCAACGCTGCCCAGCTTTCAAATCGTCTTTGGCAGTCTGTTCGATTCCGCCTTCTTGCTCGCGGCAGCTGCTACAGCCGTTTGGAAATACCTCATGTATATGCAGCGCACTTCTTCGGGAGACGGAGGCGTACTGTTTGGCGGAGCAGGTCGTTGAAGCGCTCCGCCATTCCTATGTTTCCTTTGCAGATCAGGACAATTCATCGTATTGATACCACAATGTGACCATATCGTGCCACAGTCTGACGCAAACGTGCAGCGCTGATACTTTGCCATGGGAACAAGAGGTGAAGAAGACCAAACATGAAAAGACGAGCGAAGTATGTCATTGGGGTATCGTATGTAAGTTGCGAGAAGTATCTTCTGGGCCAAATATTGTGAGCGGGAAGCTGTGTCACTCTTCCGAGCGTTCTGAGTTTGATGAGTTGAATGAATTAGGTTCAGGTAACGGGCTGCTTCGAAGTTCGCCAGCGGATGGACTGGTGGATGATCTTGGGTCGTTGGCGTCGCCCGTATTGGTGTTGAGCAGGCTGATCCTACGGAAAGCGCGCTTCCACCCCTGATCCTGGCTGCTTTGAGGCGTGGGCTTATCTTGGGCCAGCGTCGGCGACCGGAACGCCTGTGGATCTTCGTCTCCCGTGGTTTCATGTGGCAGCGGCGGCAGGGTACCTCCGTAGCCAGTCAAGGGCGATACCATGCGAATTGAGTCTGGATCTAGATGTGAGGAATTTGCTGGTGGAGCAGGCAACGAGTAGCTTTCGTCGCCTGCGACGGAGTTCTCGAGAATAGAACTCTCGGCTAGGCTGCTGGTGCCGCTGGTTGCGCGGCTGTTGGACGCGCTGCTGTGCAAAGATGAAGGGAAGGGATACCCCGAGCTGCTTTCAGCGGCGAGCTCGAGAGTCTGCTGGTGCCTTTCCGCTCGCTGCTGACGAGCTCTGGATGCGATGCCTTGGCCGCTGCTGATCTTGGTGAGGCTAGTGCCGCTTCCCGCTGACAATTGAACGGCACGAGAGCGCTCTTCGTCGCGTGCTGCTGGAGTGGAGGAGATGGCGCGTTCAAAAGCAGTGTCCGAGCTTCTGCCCGGCGTCGTCGATGCCTGCGACTGCGAGTCGGATCTGGTCGGACTCAAGACGGGTGGATTCGAGCTTGCGCCGCCAACGACGCGGGAGAAGAAAGCTGCAAAGCCTCCAGCTCCGGGCGCCGCCGATAGACTTTGCGGGCGTTGGGTGTGCGGGCTGGTCGGACTCTGAACAAGCTGATGCTTGGGCGGCTGGATACCGCGCATGAGCAGCTCTTTGCGAATGCGCTCACGCTCGGCTACATCGTGTTCGTCTTCAATCTCTTCGCTGCTCCGGAGTTTGCGGGCCGAGCCATCACGAGACGGGATGAGGAGGTTATCAGACTGGAGTGTCAGGGGTCGCAGGATGGAAACAGACTCGGCAGCGTTGCTGCTGCTACCGCCACCGAGGAAAGGCAAACTGCGCCAGTCGATCGATGATGTGCGCTTGCTTTTGGGTGGCGCCGAAGTACGAGGTTCGCTTGTTGGGCCCCCGAAGCTGAACATTCCGCCAGCCTGATTGGACATGCTCGTGGTCGATGTTGTGCTGGCATTGGAAACGTTGCGGGATCCCGTCTTGTCCTCGCCGCTGGCGCCCTTCTTCTGATCGGGACTATGAAGACTTAATGTAGCACGGGATGGCTTGTGGCGCGGGCCGCGGATCGTACCGCGACTTTCAACAGCGAGGATGTTCTCGTAGCCCTCGCGTGCGATGATGCGGTCGATGATCTTGGAGATGTAGAGGGTAAGAGCCTGATTTGCTTCACGCAGCTCGCGAACCTCTTGCTGCAGCTCGTCGACGCTGTCAGATACGGATCCTATGCGCGTATTTGCGCGCTTCTCTCGTGTCAATCGATCGCCGCTGGAAGCGGCAATAACACCCTCGCCTGCACTGTCTTGGAGCTCGGAAGCCAGATTGGTTGCAGGCAAGTCGGCGCCAGAAGTGGCACGCCTGCGTCGAGAAGTGTGCGTCTTGTTGGGCGGAGCTCTAGGTGTATCGGGAACATCGTCGACATCGTCCTCATCCTCCTCGGGAATGGTGCTAGACGAAAGGGAGGTGCTGCGGGAACGGCCGTCGTCATCGGTGTCGTCAGTGTCGAGCGAGTCGGCCTCGGTGGCATCTTCTTGATCGTAGGGATCACCGAGACTATCATGTGCGCGGAGCCGTCCTAGCGATGCTCGTCGGATGCCACGAAGCATGGCACTCTCGTTGAGCAAGGCGCCGCTGAAGGTCTTCTCCTGCAGGATGTCCATGAAGGCCTCATTCTGGTCGCGCAAGGCGAGGTTTTCTGCTCTGACATCCTTAAGCTCGGCCTGCAATGTCGACATTGTCTCTGTGAGCGAAGAATGAGACTTTTGGAGCGTGGATAGTTCATCGACGAGCGTAGTCATATCGTTTTCTGGGGCAAAAGTGCGGCGTCCGATGGTGTCAGCACGGATCTGCGGCGATCGAATGGACCCATGAGCGTCGTCTGGGCCTGGGTCTGAGCCTGCGTCATCGTGCGAGGGAACAACTTGCGGGTCAGCGGATGAGTCGGAAGTCAGATGGCGTTCTGATAGAAGGGGAGAGTCGCTGTCTTGGATGCCTGTGCTGGCCTTTATTGAAGCCAATCGATTCGTGATGCGTTCGTGCTCGCGTAGAAGCTCGTTGTGACCGGAGAGCAACCTGTCGTACGCCGAAGCCTGTGTGGCCTTTTGTGATTTGAGGAGGGCTTCTGTATCTTGATAATACTGACGCTCCTTGTCCATGGTGGCAGTCTGGTCGAGGTAGCGCTTTTCGGCATCGTTGCGGCTGCGCTCGGTCTCTGAGAGCTGTTTTCTGAGGCGCTCGATCACTTGCATAGTAGAGTAGACCTCACCTTCCATGCGATCCTGATCTGCCATGATCTCGTCGATCCTCTCCTCCCTCTGCTTTACAAGCGACTGGAGCGAATGCACTTGGGCATCGGACTGAGCGAGCTGCTGAGACAAAGCGGCAGTAGATTCTTGGAGCGACTCGTTGTGTGAGACTTGGTCTTCGAGCTGTGCCTCGATGTGGTCCATCTGCACCTTTGCGCGGCCAAGGGCAATCACGAGATCGTCGCGATCCAGACCCTCGAGCGCCTTCTCGATCTCTTGCTTCGGAATGTCCGACGCAGTGCCATTGGATCGCATACTCCGGACGGAAGAGCCTGAAACGGTACGCTGCACTGACATGGGTTCGGGAGATGCGGTCCTTCGGGCTTCGAGGTCTGCTGGCTGGTCATCGTGGCTCTTCGCAGTCGCTTGCGAATCGTGGGAACTACCGAGCCTGTCATTGGCATCGTCTCGATCGTTGATGAAAATCTCGTCTTGGGAAGTGATCAAGGGCGATTTGGAGAGTGATGTGGCCGCTTTCGAGGTGCGATTTCTGGGTGGAAGCGGTCGAGAAGCGCCAAGTTTGGTGGAGAGGTTGTGGTGCGATTCCGCATGGGGCAAGAGCTGGCGCGGCTCATCGTCCGTCATGGTCGCGATGTGGATGCATTCGTGCTTGGCAGTGGTGCGGCAGCGATGTGACGTTGGAAATGCGATCGTGTGGGTGACAGACGCCAAGATGGTCTTCTTGTGGAACTGTGTCCATGCAAGCGTGTTGCCGACAAGTGTTGGTTGGGCCCCTTGCATGGCTGACTGCCCATCTGCCCGATGTATCTCCGATCTTGAAGTAAGCGGAGTTTCAAGTTGACGATCCCTAAAAACACTTTAAACTTTTTCGGGTCAGCGCCGGGGCCAGAGTGCTGCAAGGTGCGAAAATGGAAGCCCTGACGCCGCGACACGTTTTCACGACAAGAATCGCATTGGACCGGCGCAGTGACGTTTTGTGACGATTCTGCGCAGTGGCCATCCGCCAAATTCGGTAAGCCATAGAAAGCTGTTATGCAAACTCTTCTCGTCAACCATCACCTCTAAGTAATCCGATCCTTCATTCGCTTCTCATTTCCCCCATCGGATTTCCCACCCGTGGTTGTCAAGTGGTCCCCAAGACCAACTTCCGATACTCAATATGGTCATGATGCCTGCTCCGTCCGCAGGGCCAGCGCGGATAGCTTCGTCCACCAATGGCATCTCCGCTAGCTCGTTGCAGTTCCGCGCTCAGCCTTTCGTCAAGCTGGCCATCGTCGCCATGACGGCTTTGGTCCACCTCATCGTACCCGTACTCTCGGCTCCCTTTTCTTTCGCCTCTTCGCAACTCGCAGCCACCTCTTCTACACCCGAAGCTTCGCGTCACAACCATGACGAGGATGACCCCGTCAGCGACAATCCGCTCAAACTCACCATCGACATTCTCACCATCGCTGCTCTCGTCGTGCTTGGCGGTATCTTTGCTGGCCTCACTCTCGGCCTCATGGGTCTCGACATGGTCAATCTTCAGGTGCTCGCCCATTCCGGCTCCGACAAGGAGCGCAAGCACGCCACCAAGGTGCTCAAGCTCCTCGAAAAGGGTCGCCACTGGGTGCTCGTCGTCCTGCTGCTCGGCAACGTCATTGTCAACGAAACCTTGCCTGTCTTCCTCTCCGACTTTGGTGGTGGTCTCGCGGCAGTCCTCACCTCCACCTTGCTCATCGTCATCTTTGGCGAGATCGTTCCACAGAGCATCTGCGCCCGCTACGGTCTCGCCATCGGCGCCTTTTGCGCTCCCATGGTTCATGCTACCATGCTCATCCTCGCCCCTATCGCTTGGCCCACCGCCAAGCTTCTCGACTGGTGCCTCGGTGAAGAGCATGGAACCACCTACCGCAAGGCTGAGCTCAAGACCTTTGTCTCGCTCCACCAACAAATCGGTACCGAGCACCTGCACGAGGACGAAGTCACCATCATCCGCGCTGTCCTCGAGCTCAACGACAAGACCGTTCGCGACGTCATGACCCCCATCGAAGACGTCTACATCATGTCCAGCGACACCATCCTCGACGAAGAAGGCGTCGCAAAGCTCGTCAGGTCCGGCTACTCGCGCGTGCCCATCCACGAACCGGGCAAGAAGGATGCCATCGTCGGCATGCTGCTCGTCAAGAACCTCATCCAATATGACCCGGAGGATGCTCTGGCCGTTTCCAGCTTCCACCTCACCCCGCTTCCCGAAGCAAGCTGCGACCTTACGCTACTCGACTGTCTCAACTACTTCCAGCAAGGCCGCAGCCACATGATCCTCGTGTCTACTCACCCCGGTGAGTCGCGTGGCGCGCTCGGCGTCGTCACCCTCGAAGACGTCATCGAAGAGATGATCGGAGAAGAGATTGTCGACGAGACCGACATCTACGTCGACGTTCACAACAAGATCAAGGTCGTACGAAACCGTCAAGCCAAAGACAGTGCCGGTCAGAACTGGCAGCCTCTGATTCGCGGCATCATTGAGCGTCGTCGAAAGCTCGGCGGCCCCATGAAGGCACCGCTTCGCAGTAGCTACGGCACCGTCGGTATTATGAAGAACGACGGCGGCGCCAGGAACGATGCCAAATACGGCTTGCCCAGTAGTCAAGCTCGTGCCGTCGACAAGGTAGCCATCAAACGTCCAGGCTCGCCTCAGTCCATCGCTAGCAATTCTCGCAAAGCATCCGGTTCATATGAGCCAAATACTCCCTTGCGCCGCGAGAGCTCCTCGTCCGTCGCTACCTCGATCGACGGTCTCAATTATCAGGACTCGCCCCGTACCGTCTTCGTACACCAGAACTCCGGGAGCGCACAAAACTCCTATTCGGAGCCCTACATTGTCGAGGTCGGCAGCCAGGATCGTACACCACGTGTCATCCGGATATCCGACATCCAAGAGTATCCAGGTGCAGAAGAGAGAGCGAGAAAGGACGACGCACGCCAGCAAAACCAGATCACTCGCGACGCTCGGAGTCGTGATCAGCACGACGATGACGCAGACGATCAAGATGGGGAAAGGCGACCGCTCCTCGATGGCGTCAAAAAAGCCTTTGGGCGGGACAATTAGTTTCGAATTTCACGCAGCAGTGAACATCTCATGCTCACCTATTCCAGCTGCTTCTTTCTATCGGAGTGTGATGCTTGTTTGACTTAAATAGAATGCAAATGTGAGGATTATACAAACGTGTCGTGTGGCGAAGGGGGTGAAAACAGCTCCATTTACTCTCCGGTGGAAGACCACATAGCAGGCCAGTTCACTGGCAGTCGGGGCACCTGCGTCGACTGGTCCCGCGGCACCGAGGCGAAGAATTCGTCGTGTTCTTGCACCGTCTGTTCGTATTCGCGCAGACTCTGCACCGCGTAGATGTGCAGAGTGTCGTCGTACACCTCAGCCGCACGAGGGGCATCAGGGCCACCGCCATTGACGCCGCTCAGACCCAGTCCCATGTGCTCAGTTGGCAGATCGGGTACAGGCGGTACCTGCTGAGCTTCCGCCTCTGCGACCAATTCGGATGCAGGTCCCGGGAGCATTGACGCCCGTCTTGAGAAAGCTTTCGAAATGCGTGGCGACATGGGCGTCCTTCCCGGCGTCGGCGGCTGCTGTGCATGCCCCGACTGCAGGTCAAACATCGTGTCCGCAGCAACACCAGCGTCGTGTGTAGGCGAGTGCGTAGCTTGCGAAGAGGAACGCGCTCCTTGCTGTTGCTGCTGCTGCTTCTGTTGCTCCTTGATGTCGAATTCGAAACCGCTGCCGCTCTTCGACTTTCCACCACGCACACTACCAGCAAGCGTCGAAACGTCTGACAGGGTATCCGAGCTCGCCGACTCGAACGACGTGCGCGGCGTCGTGCGTGCGCTACCGATCGTCTTGCTGTCGTCGTCCGACTCGACCCCGGACGTCGCTCTGCCCGAAGTCGGCGAGAAGGGTTGGATGGCGCGATGAGAGCCGTTTTTGCCATCCTTGGCACCACGGAACGCCTTAAGCCAGCTCTTGGTCTTGGAGTGTGACGCTTTCTTAGACTCCGACGACTTGGTAGACGGTGAAGCGCGCGGATCCACAGCGGTCATGCCCATGATCTTCTCTGCCCTGGGTCGACCGTCGTTGCTCCCCTCTGAGCTGGCTTCCCCGTCCGTGGAGGCGCGCTTGATGGTGCTCACAAACGTCGACGTTCCCGACTTTCTCGATCTGCCGTCCTCCGACTTGGTGCCGTCCGAACTCGAGTCGGTCTCTGGCGAAAGCACATCATGCCTCTTCCGCAGCGTCTCGAGACGCTGGTTGAAGAGACGCACCACTCGCACCGCTGTCCTGCCGCTTGGATCGTCCGATGGCGACGGAAAGTCGCTGATACGCGCCAGTCTAAACACGAGCAGATGCAGGTAGTAGGCTCGGATGGTGAACGACCACGAGAGGAAGAGCTTGTGAAAGACGCTGGGCTTGAGCAGGATCTGTTCGCAAAAGTAGACGCGATTCTCGCTCGTCGCGGTCAGCACGCCAAAGTTGGCGTAGCAAAAAGCGATGGTGCGCATGAGCGCCAGCGCATGGTCCGCATTTTCGAGCAGCATGCCGATGGTGGTGATGATGAACGAAACATCGATGAAGCCTTCGCTGATAAACTCATTCGTGTCCATGTGGCTGATGACTCCGTCCAACCAGTCGAGCAGACAAAAGACGCCTTGAACATCGTACAACGACGTTCGCTTGATGAGCGCCTTGATGTGCAGGCCGAGCATGGGTGCGAAAATCATGTTTGACCCCGCTGGTGCGCGTACGATATCGACCACGATGGCTGTGCATCGACGATTGGCTGCTTCGAGGATGCGCGGCTTGCCCGCAGTGCTTCCGGAAAGCACGTTGGCCGTCTCGCCTGCCGGATTGAAGTTTTTCTGCGACGACAGCGTAGTGACGGACAGGATGACACGATGCACCAAGGCCAAACACTTTTGATGGACGCAGGTCGCAAGGTGCGCGTAGCCGGGTCCACCGAAAAAGTACTTGGACACGCTGTCAAGCGTCTTGGAGCTGGCAAACAGGCTGGCAAGCTGTCGATGGTAGCTGCGGCAGAAGCTGAAGAAGAGCTCCGAGTCATCCGACTGCCATCGACGGAGCCAGTTGCCCGACATCTCGACTTCCACCTCGGGCTGACAGACCAGGAATCTATCGTCTTCGGCGCTTTGCGGATCCGATCCGTTGGCCGACCCGGCCACCGACTCGCTGTCGAGCATCTTGAGGTACTGTCGAGAATCCTTGTAGCAAAGTTGGCGTAGCGTTGCTGGGAAGCGGTTGGCAAAGCGGTCAAAGTCGACCGGCCGCTTCCTCTGCCATTCAAACTCGCGCGCCACTCGTTCAAGGGCGAAGCGGTTGACGGGCAGCGCACGCAGCAGCTTGCTCGCCACGCCGTTGACCCTGAAGAAGGCGACGGCCAAGAGTCGGCCGGAAAAGATGAGCGTGTTTTGATAGACGCCCTTCTTATTGAGCTCTCCGATCGCGTACGACAAGATGTGGCCGAAGACCGAGGAGAATCGAGCTTCGTCCTCTGGATCAGCGCTGAGGATCGAGGCCGAGAAGTTGCGGCTCTCGATGATGCAAGCGATGCTTTCCAGGATGGCACCACGATCAGCAGAGGTCTGCACGTGCTGAAGCTCCAGCAGGAGCGAGCGGATCCAGTCGAAGAAGAGCGCACGCCTCGCCTTACCCTTGACGTAGATGCCGGAGCCGACGACGTCGACAGTGATTGTCTCTGCCTCGAGGGCCAAGAAGGGCAACAGTACGGCGCGCAGCAGATTGCCGCGATCGGCGGCGACACCGGATGTCTTGTCGCGGAATCTTCGGAGGGCGTTTTCGACTTCGTGCCACGCGCTCGCAGGGAGCAGATGCCCATCGTTGGAGTCGTCGCCGAGTCCGTCGGCGCTAGAGACACTGGATGCGCGTCCCGAATAGCGACGCTCGTTGCGAGTGGGCGCACGCGAATCGGATCGGTCAGTGCTGGCCTCGGAGAAGCGGCTCTGCTGGAGGGGCGAGAAAGTCGCCAAAGCTTCTTGGCCGCGCCTCCACCTCGCGGCGTCTGCGGTCTCGTCTATCGGATGCAGCGTGCGCTCGCCGTTGACGGCAGGTGAAGTACGACTGGGTGGCTTGGACGCCATAGGTGAGGTTCCAGCGTTGACGGACGGCGAGACAGCTGCGGCCGCGACAGCACCGGCCTGCAAAGCTGCCTCTTCGTGCGGGCCAGGCGAAGCTTCCAGCTTGTTAGGCGGCGATCGCAACGTCTTGAGCGAAACTTCGCGCAGAAGGGCGGGTCGTTCGGTCTCTGCAGTAAAGGCGCTCTCTTCGACGTGAGCGACTGCCTGTGAGGCACGACGGGGAGACGTGACGTCGTACGATGTGAGCTCTGCTTTCGGCGTGGTGCGATCTTCCTCTGGAGTGGAGAATTGCACAAAGCTCTTGTCAGCGGGTGGTGTCCGTGGTGTGCCGACATCCGGTGCGGGTGATCTGAGCGGTGAGGACTTAGTCGCCTGTTCTGCTTGCTTTTTCGATGCGCTCGGCGTGGTCGTGTTCTGCTTTGGCGTAGCCTTGCCGTGACGTTCAGCAGCATCCTCGTCCTCGTCGCGCAGCGCCAGATAGGAGCGCGCGAGCTGGTCGTCGGTGGCGCTGGTAGCAAAGGGATCGATGTTGCTGTCAAACAGGCCGCCGTACGCAGGCTCGTCGTTGCTGCGCGACTTGATGCGACTCTGTATCGACATGGCTTCATCGTACGATTTCTGAAGCGAGGGTAGAGCCGAGCCGGATCGTGGCGGTGTGGTCTTGTCGAGAGTTGCAATGCGGCTGCTATTGACATCGTCTCGGGGTGGGGTCGGGGCCTCGCGTAAGCCACGAGTGCGACCGTCCAAGCGATGCTGGGTCGTGGACACGTCAGACTCGCGATGACGGACGGTGGCGGGAGAGGTGGGAGGCTGAGGCGTCACGGTACTAGTGCTGGTGCGTGTCGAATCATCATCATCAAAGAAGCTCGAGCTGGGCAATTTGAGATCCAGAGTGGGTGCGGAAGCTTGCGAGGGTGCTGAGGCGACCTTGGACGGTGCGATATCGATGCGAGCCGCGGCGGACCTTGCGCGCTCCGCATCGCGCTCGAGCATGGCTCGCTTGTAGGTTTCGGCGAGTGTCAGCGGCCTGGATGAGATGCTGTTGTCGTCCGCAAGATCTCGAGAGTCGGCGGGTGGTTGAACGCTGGCGTTGACGATGGCGGGTGCTGGGCGACGATCTGCGTCTGAATTGGGGATGCTGCTCGAGGCGGTACGGTCGGGTACCACAACGGCCGCTGATCGAGGTGCGAGAGGGGTTGAGCTCATCGGCAATGGCTCTGGTCGTCTGTCTGAGGTCGACGATGTCGGAACCAGGTGAGAAGACGACTGCTGTTGTTCAACAATTGGTTGTGCAGATGCAGGCGGGCCCAATGAGGGGCGGTTGGACGAAGATCGTGCAGGCACGATGTTTTCCGAGACGCTGCGAGGCTGGTGAGGAGCCATGAAGCGCTGCGAAGACAGGCGCTGCATGGCTGCCTGCTGTACCAGCTCGGCCGGAGTGAGGACGGTATGTGATGCTGATTGAGGTGTGAGGGGGGATGATGAGCCTGAGCTCGATCCCAAGAGACCACTGGAGGAAGATCGGCTCAAGCCGTGGACGGCTGAGCCGTCTAGTGCGCTCAGGTTGTGCAAATCGGATTGTGAGCGATTGAGTCCCGAGGCACCTGCCGGCATCTGGCTTTGTGGGCTGAGGGTGGACCATGTCGCGTCCTCGGATCGGGCAAGCTTGCGTCTCTGAGAAGCGCTGGAGATGGAGAGCTTTTGGCGCGCACCCGTTGTACCGATGGGCACGAGAAAGTTGCGAGAAGGGATCGAGGCAGATGGCAAATCGATGGATGCGGTGCTGCTGCTCGCGGAGAGACGATCTGGCGGATGCGAAGCTGGGTTGGAGCTCTGGCTCTGAGGGGCCCACGTCGGGATGTATGTGGAGAAGCTCGATGCGCTGGCATTGGAGAATTGAAGACCACCGACGCTCGACTGTGAGCGTGGAAGGGACGAAGCAGAGGAGGAAGAGGAGGCGTTCCTGGAGAGACCAAGACGTTCCTTGAGTGATCTTGCTGGTGCCTGTTGAGCGCCTACGCCGAGGGATGCTGGAAGATGTGATGCGTAAGAGAGCACGCTGCCGGAAGTAGCGGCCTCGCGACGATCGTGAGAGGAGATGCGCTTCGAAGCATGCTGCTGCATGCTGCTCGCGCTGAGCGAAGCCGGTAGAGGGGTGTGCTGCATCTTGTTGTGTTGGCGCCTTGGCTTTTCCGGCAGAGCTGGACGAGGACAATTGCGTACAGCAGCAAGATGTCAGGGTGGTCCGTATGCACGCCTGAAAGGAGCGCCGTCGTCGTTGCGCGGCCGGAGCAGCGAGGACTTCGAAAGAAAGATCGAAGATGAGCGCGACTTCAGCAAATCATCTGACGGGAGAGACGATGCTGGTGCGCACGAGTGGTAGCTGCGATGCGTTGCGGAGAGAGCGTGCGCGAGCAGCGGAAACGTGGAGATGGAATACTCAACGCCGCAAGTCGATCAGCAAGGCACTCTGAGCACGAGTTGGACGGATCGCTGCTCGCTGGATATGCGCGGTTGTGGGCACTAGATCGAACCGGGATAGGTGATGTGGGCTGACGAGGGAACAGAACGGCTCGGGATGCCGGTAACCTTGGCAAGCGAATTAGACACGAGGGTACTGGATTCTGTGGTCGAGGCTGGACGCCAGTAGCAAAGTCGAGTGTCCCCGCGAAGCCCGTCCGAAGCAACCGTGTCTTTGCTCGTTTGCTTGTGTTGCGTGATGGTCTGGAATGCGGATGGTCAGATCGATTGAGAGAGAGAGAGTAGAATGGATTGTGCGATGACCAAGTGCTGGGCGTCGGCGTCGTTGCTCTCGACGGCGACGGTAGCGAGGATACGGATGATGAAGCCGAGGCTGACGACGATCGACGACAACGGCGACGACGATGATGGAGAAGTGAAGATCTATCGTCAGTCCAAATTGTTGTGATAGGCAAGGATGATTCGTGTCCAACACTGAAAGCTGAGAAGCGGAGCGGATTCACCGAGTGACCAAAAGCACAGACAGAACACGGCAAATGTGTGACCTGCAGTGGAGCACGGCCTTGCCGAAGAACAATTTGCAGTCCGCCGCCGCCTCTGCTTGTGCTTCGCGGATGCGCGGGTGCGTGGGACGAGACACGAAGCTAAGGTGGACTTAACTTAGCCGAATTTCAGAGTCCGTCGTGCTCAGAGACAAATTTGCGGGTCTGGCCGTTCCACACTCACAGGCTCTCTCTCTTACTGCGCCCGTCTTTTCCTATCCCTCTATCTCTACACTCTCTCGTCCTCCATATCCGTCGGCTAGAGGCTCAAACTGGCACAATTGCAGCCTCTCTGCGTGCTCGAACCTTTGTGCCGTTCATTGCCCGCTTCCTCACCCTCGCACACACTGTCTCTCTTCGAACAAAAGCTCACATGCTTAGCCGAGCGGATCCACCGGGGACTTTTTTGGTCGCACCCGCCATTGTTTGGTACGATATGAAACGATAACAAGCCAAGACTACCACCCTATCATCACCACATCACGGTCCGAAAATGTTGGCGATCTCGACTCTGCCTTACGACTGTCGGTGTTTGAGCCGTTTCTGAAGGTGACGCGTTTGATGCTCTCTGCGACTCGGTTTAGCGATGATGGGGTGCACTGCATTCAGTGCTAGCTGCACGACGAGGGAGAATGTCTCAAGATTACCACATCGCGTTTTTTCTGGTCAGAAACGTCATCCTCAGGGCGCCGATCGTTCTTGCTCGATGCTTCCTTTCCCCCCTTGCTTTATCTCAGAGGATCTCTCTGCGTTACCAAGAAGGGAGATGGGACTCATGTCCAAGGTGCCATGATTGCCGTGGCATGCGAAACGGGAAGGGAGCGTCGAGGGCGCCGCTCTGGCCGATCAGATGCATCTTCCGTAGCCGAGGTCGAGGATTCGATGAATTTAGCGGGAAGCAAACAAACGGTCGAGAAGGCAATCTAACGGTGTGCGTTTCGATTCGCACCTTCCGATCTCGCTGCCCTCCGACATTATTGAGGGTTTTCCTTCGCTTCGTCCATTGGGCGGCTGCGTCATGTGTCTGCCCTCTGCGTGCCGTCTGGCAAGGAGAACCGCACAGCATCACGAGGTGGTTCTCTATGGCCTCGGGCGTCTATCGCTGGTGCCTTTGCCACGCCCGGATGGATCGACGAAAGGGCTAGTCTGCGCCTCTGATACAGTATGTGCGGATCGCGATCACGGGTCCACGTGTGATGCGTGTCGCTGCCGAGATGTAAGGCCAACGCGAGGGCGGGCTGGCTTATCTCGAAACACGTTACTCCGGCTCCCACGCTGGGCCGCCTTGGCTTGGCTTGGCTCTTGCCTCTGGCGCTGATGTGGTCTCAGTCGCGCCTCCGGACGCCGCTGCATGTAGGAAAATGACCATGTTGAAAAAGAGAGGCAAGGACAAGTTCCATCCGTCCTGCATACACGGCCAAGACATAGCCGAATGGCTGGTGCACTTCTGATCGATAGGCTCGGCGGCATCGTTTGCCGAACGTACCATCATACCGACAGCAGCAGCGGTATGTATGGCCTCCCGTGCCTGCCGCATGCTATGCAGTCTGCTTACAGCTACTCCCCGTGTTTCTGTGATGCAGATACTATCTGGCTCTCGAAAGCGAGCTGGCCGAGTGCACAGCGTCAGAGCAGATTGACACGCGATACCGTTACTTCGGTTGCGAAGATCAGGCCTCATACAGGGTTGGTATCAGTATTCGTAGTGCTTGCAGTGAATCAAATGGAAAAACAGGACGTAAATTGAGGATCGAAAATGTACGCTACATTTTGTCGCCTAGATCCACAACATATGTGTTGTGTACGGTGCCAAGTACCACAAGTGCTTGACAGCTGAAGTAAGCCCGATGTATTCCCTCACTGAACCCCCCAGAAGAATGAACCCGGCGACCGAACGCTGCGCTTCCAGGCGGTTCAGAAGTAGGTAGACATGGTTGGATTGAGGAGATTCTCAGGCGGGTTGATGGCGTTTGGCTGCTGCACATCGCCGATCTGCAGATCTCTGCCGGGAGGACCCTTTCACCGTTTGGACAATCTTCTCATTATCTGCAGAGACACACAGGAAGAACTCGGAAGCTAGATTGCAGTAAGAGGCTTCTTTAATTTTGTCAGAAAGAGTGCGCTTCAAGTCGGCTCGTCGACCGACCATGAATGGACTTCGATCGGCCTCTGCATTCGCGGTCACACGCGCCGCGGAAAACAAGGGTTGCAGCTCGCTTACGCCATGGAAAGGCGCGCGTTCCAAGCAGCCGATGCCATCCAAATCCGTCGAAGATGTGACCCGCTCACTCTGCTGCTGCTCCGTGACGGATTAGGTGCAGCGAGTCGATTTCCCCCCGATCTGGCTGTGCCTGGCGGTACGACAGTCAGACCGCCGTTCTGCTGGTCAGGACAGCGGATCTGCCGATTGCCGATGCTTATTTCTTCGGTTGTTTTGGACCCTCTGTGTGTCTGCAGCTTGCAAGTCACAAGTCAGCCAAACCGTCGGATGACGCAGTTGCTGTCGCATTTCTTTCGTCTTACCACCCCGAACACCTCCATCCCACATCGCTCCCGCTCTCGCTCTCGCACAACAAAGAGGGGCTCGCTCGCGTCCTCCTCGTGCTGCGCATTGTGAAGCAGATCGCCACATCGTTGCTTCGCACCCTCCACGCGAGGCACAGCTGGACTCGACTCTCGGTCGCCACGGTCAATCGGCCATTGAGTATCAGACCGCCGGCAAGAATAGCATCCTCACCATCAACAGACACCACGCAAGTCTGAGCAAGTGTCGCACACGCCCATCATGCATCGTCGGTAGCTGTCACGTCTAACCGTCGACGCCCGCAGCATCCTCATATCGCCTCTCGTACCTGCGTACAGAGCGTGCATCTCCGCGCACTGCACTCCAGGCTCCGAATCACCATGGCCGTGTCCAGACTCTACGAGCCAAGCCAGGATTGGCCGGCTTGCACGCTCAGCTATCGTCGCTTCCACCTGCTATGGACACTTCCGCTCTGCGCTCTACTCTTCGCCATCGCTCGTCCCTTTCTCACCAAACTCGATCGCGCAAAGCTCATTCTGCTTCCCATCATCGCTTTTGTGTGGACGACGCCATGGGACAATCTCATCGTGCGTAACCGCGCCTGGTTCTACCATCGCCACTGCATATGGTTCACCGTCGGCTATGTGCCCATCGAAGAGTACTTCTTCTTCGTCGTACAGAGCCTCATCTCCACCTTGTGGTGCACCCTCCTCACTCGTTGGACGTTACCCAACCTCTATCTCACGCCATCGTCACCGACGCGACGCTCCTTGGCTACACCGGCGCTCGTGCTGTGCGCGCTCTCTCTCGTATTCGGTCTCAAGGCTGCGGTCCCAGAGACGCATACTTACTACTTTGGCATGATCTCTTGGTGGTCATCTCTTCCGCTGGCGCTGCTTTTGTGGGGGTCGATTGATTTTGTCCGTAACATGGGTGTCCGAGTTGGCCTGCTACCCTTTGCGCTCTCCGTTCTCGTCCCAACCTTCTACCTCTGGGGCTCCGACGTCTATGCGCTGCGCAGGGGAACCTGGCACATCAACGAGGCGACCTCGCTCAACGTCTTCCCCATCCCGGATCTGCCCATCGAAGAGATGCTCTTCTTCTTTGTCACCAACCTCATCCTAGTCAGTGCCTGCTTCACGTTCGATCGCTGCGTCGCAATCTGCAGACTATCGGCTTCGGACAATTCGCCCCCCTTGTCGCCCAGCTACTTACCCCTTGGCTCACTGGCCACATATACCAAGCTCTGGGCCGCCTTTGTCCGCTCAGATCACCATCCTCTTCCAAAGAGCGCAGCAAGTGCGAGCGTCGTACCAAGCGACCTCGCTGCCTCGCTCAAGGTTTTGCGAGCCGCCTCCAAGTCATTCAACGCCGCCAGCCTTCTCCTGCCGTGGGACCTCCGCACCGACCTGGGATGCTTGTATGCCTTCTGCCGCGTTGCTGACGATCTGGTGGACGACGATGCCGAGGGCCTGGCGGCCAAAACCAAGAACCTCCAGGTCATTCGAGACATTGTCGATGCCATCTACGCCACCTCCAAGATCGACCACAAACTGTCAGCAGAATCGAGTCAGCCTTCGGCATCGATTGGCGAGCGCATCAGCGCCATGCTCTCACCGCTCTCACTTTCCGACAAGGTCAAGCAGGACACGCGCGCAGCAGCAGCATCAATAGCTCCGCTTACTCGATACATTCCCCGACGGCTCTGGTACGAGATGCTGCAAGGCTATACTACCGACTTGCGCTTTGAGCATCCGGATGCAGATCAACGGACGCGCTTGCGCAGCATGGATGATCTCGTCGAGTATTCGCAGTGCGTAGCAGGAGTGGTGGGAGAGATGTGTACTCGAGTCATCCTGGGTCGATGCGGCTCACCGGTGCCACTGGATCTCCAAGTTGATCGACGAATCGCGGCAAGTTCGACAAAAGCAAAGCAGAAAAGCATCCATTCGAGTCTGCTCGATCTCACGCAGACGGCAGACCTGCACGCTCTCCTGTACGAGGCGAGGCGCATGGGTGTCAGTCTGCAGCTCGTCAACATTGCGCGCGACATCGTCCCGGATTCGGTCGAGTTGCGTAGGTGCTATCTCCCCGCAGACATGTTTGACAGCGAAGACGGCGAGATGCAAGACGCTCTGTTGGACGGCAAGATCGCCGCGCCAAAGCAAGAAAGTGAACCGAAAGGTGTCGCTGACGGAAAGACGCTGGTTCGACCTCAAGATGTGCGCAAATACGCGCTGCGATTGCTCACGATCTCGCAACGACTCTACGACGAATCATATCCAGCACTGGGTCAGATCCCCAACCGTCCAGCGCGTGCCGGTTTGAAAGCCGCCTGCTCTGTATACGCCGCCATCGGAACGCGAATCGAAGCGCAGACAGAGCAAGAGATCGCTTCGGGCAGAAGGGCACGCATGTCCAACCTGGATCGCATCCTGCGTGCCATCTCTGCTGTCTATTTCGGCGTTTGACTGTCGCCTGCCTCTGTACACTGTATTCTCAATCAACTCCATTGATCCACATGGAAGCTGACAAATTATCGCAGAGCCTCGAATGCTTGCGAACGACATTGAAGATGTCTGACAGAGGTCCAAGTGACGTTGAAGAAGGGAAGGACAGTGAGAAATGCAACGGAACCGAAATGAACGGCAAGACGGGAGCACTGAGTGTCTATGAAAAGTGTGCGTCTACTGCGGTGTCTGACAAGATGCGATGAGGCAACGTGAGCTGAATTATGCAGGTCGGGCGTCGTAGTAGACGGTTTGACCAGAAGCAGCTGACACGGCAGAGGTGGCGTGAGATGGAGCTGCTGGACGCGGCGACAGGTGTTGCTGTGTTGGCTGCATTGGCGCTGTGCCTGCTGCTGGTGGATGCTCGACCGCGTCCGAGGTTGACGCTTGTCGCGACAACGAGCTTTGTCTTGCCGGCAGCGCGGCACCACCGGGACGAAGCGTGTTTTCGTGTTCCGAAGAAGCACTACTCGAACCACTCGCTGCACTTTCCGCCTCTGACTGACCCACTGCTCCGGCTCCAACAGCGCCGAATGCATACCCCTCGTTGCCCTTCTCGTTCAGCTCTGCGTCCCCCAACCTCGTCGCGTTCCACTGTCTCTTCCTGATGAACGGCGAGACAAGATCCCACACCGTCAGGAAGAACAGGAAGATGATCGGAAGTCCGGTCACGACGATCAACGCGAATCCGAGGACGACCCTCGGAATGGTCTCGATATCCGCCAACGGCGTCAAGGCTATGCAGATACCCCACGAGATGACCCTGAACACCATCAAGAAGATCATGACAAAGTCGCTCGTCTTGTCCCTCCCCGGTCGACAGATGCACAACGCGAGGAAGAACAGCAGGTCCGTAGCAGCCAGTCCGATCGACTGCCTCAACCCATGCCCTGCTCCCTGCGCGAAACTGATGAAGCAAGCGCGCACAAAGTAGACGAGCAAGAATACGAGACCGAACCAGAAGAACTTGGGTCGGAAGGGGTGTGCGATGGCTCCCCAACGACGAGCCGTGTTGGAGGCGTTGGCGGGTGGTGTTGATCCGTAGAAGAGCCGGTCGTTTCCGACTTTGCGAGAGGCCAAGAAGACGGGGACAAAGATCAGCGCGATTCCCGCCAGGTAGACGACCAGAAGAATGGCCGCCAGGAAATCTGGAACCCACGAATCACCCCTCAACCACTGCCAAAAGGCAAACACCAAGTAGACCTGAAACGTCGCTGCGACCGCACGACCAAGCAGCGGTCTACAGAACATGCCCAGGAAAAACCTCCCCGTCAATCGAGTCGACCAAGCCGCCACACGACCGTTCCTCCTCGACGTCGCTAGCCGCACAATGGCAGCAATCGCATACACGACGATGAAGATGACGACGAGCGCTGCGAACAGCATTGCCAGACTGATGAGCACGGTGAGGAATGCACTGGCGGGTGAGATGTTGTTGAGCTCGGCGAAGTAGCCCAATCCGATGGGCGAGGGCGTGCTGGATGAGATGAGGGGGAGGTAGTTGGATCCGACGTTCTGGGCGATCTGACCTCCTGCGCCTGTGTATGGCGCGTAGATCTGACGCTTGCCTAAGTTTGTCATGTGGAAGCTGATCGGCTTGGAGAGCTGGCTGTAGGCTGCGTGTGCGCTGCTCGTGTTGGCCTGCTCTGTCGCACCAGGGGGCAGGGTGAGGAAAGAAAAGGTAGACGGTGTCGTGAACGCGGATGAAGCACCCGAAGACGCACCAGCGCTGGTGAACGGATTCAACTGCTTGCCCTTCTCCGCCTTCAACAGTGCGCCGAACACACCGTCCTGCCTTCCACCCGTCTTTTCCCTTGTCGACAGGATTGACCCCTGAACAGCCGGAATATCGATCAGCCCGATCGACCAAGCAAAGTTGCGTGCAAACTCCAAAAACACCTGAGGATAATTCAACGACAACAGACCCGCCATGGGGATGTGCTGGATCGTCGTGAACACATCCACCACCCTCCACTGGGCCGCACCTAGACTAGAGGCGAGCGAAGTATGCAGCACCGAGCTGAACACCGCCAAGGCAAACACGCCGAGGACCGCCCATTTTGCCGCAGGCTGATACGTCGTCTTTCCGTTGGACAGGGTAGCCTGGACACACCCGACGACGTTGTTGTTGGTGGTATCGGTGAGTTCGACAGTGGCCACAGCCTCGAGGTTCGGCACTTGAAAGGCGATGGTGGGGATCTTGGAAACGAACTGTTCGGGCACCGCGAACACTCCTGCACCCGTAAACTGGTAGTTGGGCAGCGGACAGAGTGCCTTGATGGTATCGCACAGGTTTATGGCGAGCGAGAAGAGACCCAGACCGTAGGCGTTGACGTTGACAGAGACCGACACCCGCAGATCGTCCTGTACCGAGGCGGCCGAGATGTCGAATTCGAGCGTGCGATTCTCGCGGAAGAACTTGAGATCGAGCGCCGATATCAAGATAGCTTCGGGAGGACTGCAGTAGACGGCTGAAGAGGTGTAGAGCATCTGTGTGCCTCCGAGGCCACTGCGTGCTGCCATGGTTTCGGGGAGACTGGTGAGCGAAAGGGTAAGGAGGGTAGTGAGGAGAGATGCTGCAGAAAGCCATGATGGCCCGCCACCGTCGCGACGCTGGCGCTTCGAGAGGAGCTGCATTGCGACAGCAGGCGCTGATATCCGCGAAAGTTAGGTATCCAGATGTGAGTCCGAGGATTGCTATCGATGCAAGAGTCGAAGTGGAGAGCCTTCGAAGAACGAGGGAGTCGTCTGCTGGATAAGACGGAACAGAGCTAGCTTTCAAGAAGCTGATACTGACATGGAAGCGATCCGAGGATGGTTGCAGCAGTTCCGCGCTGTCGAGGCAAGAAAGAGATCTATGGTTAAGCAGCTGGTGCTTCCTCGAACAGAAGGGTGTTGTATCGCGTCGGCAGTTCCGATGCTTTGCGTTTTCGATCGCTTTGCGAAGGACAATCGTGGCCTTCCCTAGCGTGGAAGAGGTACGCTGAAAGAATGGTGGTGGTGACTGTGCAAGTGGAACATCCGATCAGGGTCTCAAAGCTGTCGGTCAACCGCATGGACTCCGACCACCCTGCCAAGATAGTGTGAGCAAAGGTTGGCCGACGAAACAACGCGCAGACAGTCCGAACCATCGGAACAGCCGATAAATTTCACACTCCTCTGTCGAGCACTTCTTCCAAGACACTTATTTCTCTCATCGCAGCAGAACATTGCGTTCCGAGTAAGCACGATGATGACAGAGCCTTTTGTGCCGCGAGAGAGGTGTCAGCAACAAAGGAAAAAAGAGGCCGAGGCAGGGACACCGTTGGCGCGCGCCAGCCAACCAACAGACCGACACACAAGCGTCTTGGCCTTCGGAGACGGAAAACCAAAAATCGCCGCGAAATTTTTGAAGACGAGAAGCACAAGGTTACAACGCGCATCGGCCTACGCAATCGCGCGTCGAGTCCCGGCATGGCTTTGGACAGTATGACTTCCAAGCGAGGTTTGTAGCGGATCCATATGGCGAGTATCTCAGTCTAAATCTCCGCGTGCGGTAATGCTCGCAAAGGTCTTGACACGATGTTTGAAAGCCCAGGAAGGCAGTAGCAGATGCGCTGCATTTTCAAGCCGATTCAGCAGGGATCGTCGATCGGCATCGCAGCACAGCCGGTACGCTTTTGCAGACGTATGTCCTTGGTTCTTCTCATGCTTCGGCACCTCACCAACATTGAAGGCCGACACATAGCAAGTATTCGCCAACGACTCTCTTCAGATCCCTGATTGATAAGAACGTGGAACATCTTTGATACGCTCTCACACAGTATCGCGACTCTCGTTTGTGATCGAGATTCTCACTGTTGAGGGCTGAATGTCTCCACGCGCGCACGGGCCTGAGTTGCCATGAGGACATGTCATCGAGCTTCTTTTCATAACTTGATTCCTCTTCTCGGCTCCTTCATCTCCTCAACTCGACAGGAAATCGCAATACGACCATGACATCGAGCGAGTTCCCAGCTGCCCTTCGAGGCACGCTTCAACTCTACCAACCCAAACCTGTAGCGCTACCTTACTTTGACACGGATGCAACGCTTCCCCACACGCTGGTATTCATCCCCGGACTTACCGATACACTGTCAACGCTCCCTTACCTGCCCCAACTTGCATCTCTAGCACACTCGTACGGCTTCTCGCTGGTGCAACCGCAACTCACATGCAACCTGGGTGGATACGGACAGTGTACCCTCGAAGGAGATGCGCAGGAGATCGCTGCATGCGTCGCACACCTGAGAAGCACCAAGCAGAAGAGTGCGGGTAAGGTGGTGTTGATGGGTCATTCGACGGGATGCCAGGATGTGATAGCTTATCTATTGAGTAGCTCGAGAGCCGCAGCGAATCATACCAAGGTCGATGGAGCGATACTCCAAGCTCCCGTCTCGGACAGAGAGTTTTACGAGATGAAGAGGGAGAGTGCGTCGCCCGAAGAGAGGAAGAGGATGGATACAGAGTTGGAGCTGGCTACCCGACTCGTGAAGGAGGGAAGGGGTTCGAGTCTTATGCCGAGAGAGCCAGTGACCCTGCCGACCGATCTTAACGATCCAGAGCATCCACATTCCGACGCTGTGGACCGACCTGGAACTGAGCTGGACATAGCAGGAAATGCATCAGCTGTCTTGTCGCCTGCGATGACAGCCTACCGCACATGGTCACTGAAAGCAAAAGGCGGCCACGACGACTTCTTCAGCTCCGATCTCGACAACTCCGACATCACAAACAACCGTCCTGGCGCAAGAACCATCGGTAGGGCCGTCAAGAATCTTCAGTCCTCATATCCAAAGGCACAGTTGCTCGCATTGATCGGAGAGAAAGAGTGAGTACCTGCTTCCCTTCACAGCCCACTCGACCTCGCATTGAAGGATGATTGACGCAGCCAATCCTCTCAATGATCTTGATTCTTATAGTGAATACGTTCCCCCAGGCAAACAGTCGATCTTGCTCCAACGCTGGACCGAATTGCTCGGACCGACAACTGTCTTCGAGGCGAAAATACTCAAGGAGGCCAACCATCAAGCTGCGAGTCGAGTCGCGACCGAGAATTTGCTCAGCTTGGTCGGCGAATATCTGTCACGTTTTAGTTAGAGGGCAAACGATGCATAGATGAAAGCGTGAATGCGAACAGGAGCGTGTCTATATGACAAGACTGTGCAAGGACAAAGGAACAGAAGAGTGCTACTTCGGGCACCTAGAGGTGAGCAGGGCTCTGACCGACGACACCATACTCGGCAGCAGGGAAAGCGGGAGCACCTTGCTTGACCTTGATATCCTCGGGCAGACCGTTCCCGACTTCCCTGCCCTGACTGCCCTTGATTCTGACCACCTCCTCGACAAAGTCTTCAAAGATGCCGTTGGTGTCCTCCGGACCACCGGCGTGCTCCGGGTGGAACTGTACACCCCATACCATAGCCCTCTGCTCGTTCAACTCGGTGCGGATGATGCCCTCGACCGACGAGTCGTTGGCATTGACGAACCAGGGCTGCCATCCCTGAGGCCACTTGCTCTCATCCGGGGTGAGTGCGTAGCCGTGGTTCTGGGAGGTGATGTAGACGCGACCACGCTTGACAAAGTTTCCGGCCGACTTGAGCGCCACGACGGGTTGGTTGTGACCTCGGTTGCCGAACTTCATGCGGTAGGCCTCGACACCTGCGGCGATGCCGATCACCTGGTGACCCATGCAGATTCCAAAGATGGGGCGATCCCATTCGGCGACTGCCTTGCGAGCCATGTTGAGCGCAGGCTCGATCGAGTAGGGGGAGCCAGGACCGTTGGAGAGGAAGAGGCCGTCAAAGCCATCGCGCACCTTGTTAAAGTCGTAGTCCCAGGGAAGGACGGTGACCGAGGCTCCGCGGCGAAGGAGCGAACGGAGGATGTTGGCCTTGCAGCCAAAGTCCATAAGTGCGACGTGGGCGCGAGCGGCTTTGGCACCACCGACGGGGTGGAGCACGTAAGGCTCCTTGGTCGAGACCTTGGCGATCAGGTTCTCGGCCATGGGGTCGATGTAGTCGCCGACAGCAGGTGCCTTGTCGTGACCATCGCCGACGAGGAGGGCACCGAGGGTGGAGCCCTGGTCTCGAAGAAGCGAAGTGATGGCACGAGTGTCGACGCCAAAGAGACCGGGGACATTGTGACGCGCGCACCAGGTGGCGAGCGACTCTTTGGCAAGGTAGTGCGAGAAGCGCTCTGCGAGGTTGGAGACAATGACACCGGCGGCCTGGACCTTGTTGGATTCGAGGAAAGCACCGACGTCGACGTCGGCGGGGTGCTCGACGGGAGACTGAGTGCTACCGTTGTCAGGCACACCGTAGTTGCCCATAAGAGGCTGGGTAAAGGTGAGGATCTGACCCTGGTACGAGGGGTCGGTGAGCGACTCGGTGTACGAGGTGATGGAGGTGGTGAACACGGTCTCACCAAAGACGCTGCGAGGAGCACCAAAGGAGCGACCGGTGAAGGATTCGCCGGACTTGAGATGCAAAGTGGCAGGCTTGGATGCAGGAGCGTCGGTGTAAGTGATGGGACCAGCGGAAGCGTGGGTGGCCAGGGAGCGAATTGCACCGGTTCGCAAGCCCATCAGAGGGGCGGTAGCACGCTGAAGCATCGAGTTGCGGATGGGAGCGAGCATGGTGATTGTTGGTTTGCTAAGACGTCAAAATTGTGTTGGAATGTGAAGCTTCTCAAGCGTTGTGCGAGGACTTGTAGACAGAATCACTGATGTAGTCGTCTCGGGTCTGCTGAACGAACATGCGCTATACAGCCCTGAAGGGATGGGGCAGGTGCTTGAAAGTGCTGGGTGGTGTGTGATTGCGATGAAGCTTGAAGTGGATTCTGTCTTGGCAATGCAAGGCGCAGATGAGGGTCGCTGAAGATGAAGAGCTCGTGTCGAGGTCAAGGATGGTGGATGGGAGGTTCGGAGAAGAACGAGTTGAGCGAACGTCAAAGATAAGAGAGACCAAGAAGCCGAGTCAGACTTTTTCCTTTTTCCCTTTTCATTCCCAGTTTCACGATAGTGCGCTGTGCTGCCTTAAAGATGCGACATGTCGAGTCAACACTAAGCATTCTGGAATCGCACGGACGCGTTTGCAGCAGAAAGGCAAAAATTCTTGTCGAATCACAAATCAGATCTTCCAAAAAAAGCCGCCGTCTCCGGTTGGCTGGGATTTTGACGTAGCGACTCTCCAGCCGAGTCTCGATTCCAATCACGGCCTTTGATAGACCACACATTTACCGAAACAGGGCTTGTGTGTTACCGCTTTAATCCTAACATCCTTTTTGTTCAGCGGGTTCTTGTTGTCCGTGCGGAAGTGTCAAAAGACCAAAAGGGTCCTCGACACGATCCTCCGCCAACCAACACCACGCATGCGGCAACAACCAACAGGCAGTCGTAGTGCCGTGCAAGGACAATGGCAGCAGCAGTCCCCTACACGGTCGATGGCGCTGGTCCAAGTCGACCGCCCATCGACTTTTCCGCAGCTCTGTCTACGTGGCGAGACATCAACTTCGTCGACCTTCAGCAGCAACTCAACACCACCGCTCCCGAATTGCTCGAAGCGCAAAAGGCTGCCGTAGCCAACCGCAAGAAGCTCGCAGACCAAACACGAGAGTTCAAGAAGCAGCCCGACGCTAACAAACCCGACAGCTTCAAGCCTCTCCTCAAGGCGTATCAGACAGAGATCGACACGCTCACAAAACGGTCCAAAGCAGCAGAGAACGCGTTTCTCAATGTACATTCAGCCTTGACAAGCGCGCCCGATCCGTACCCTCTCCTCGAGGTCATACTTGAACAAGCAGCATCTCTCAACGACCTCGAAAGCTTGAAGCACGACAATGCAAAGCTCCACGACGATCTCGCTCAGACCGCCGGCCTAGTAGAGGCCAGCAAGGAGAATCAAGCCGAGAACGCTCGATTGCAGCAACGTATGCTCTCGCTCGAGCAAGATTTTGAGGCCAAATTGCAGCAGCGCACTGCCGCTCTTGAGCTCGAACTCTCTGCAAAATGGGACGAGAGAATACGCAACCTCAAGGAGCGAGAAACCGACCTTACAAAGTCGTTGAACTTGGCCCAAGAGCAACTCAAGCATTTCAAGTCCAAGGACGAAACTGCAACCGCAAAGCTGCTCGAAAAGGGTCTCGAGGATGAGCAGCACCAAGACAGGAACGCCAATGGCAGCTTTGCCGAAGTCGAACTGCTATCGCGAGACTTGGAGCGAGCACATGCCAGGGTCGAGACCGTCGAAAGGCGCAACGAGCAACTACGTGTCGAGATCGAAGGCGTCAAGAGCGGACGTCAGGAGAGCGAAAAGCTTCAGATCCTCCAAGACGAGTCTCGAGAGAAGGACCGCAAGCTGCAACAGCTTCAGTCTTCGCTCGAGTCTGAACGTCTCCAATCTGCAAGCTTGACCAAACAACTAGCTTCAGCCCGCGACGAAAAGGTCAAGCTGCAGTCTGAAAAGGACGCAGAGATCGAGTTGCTTCGCGCCAAGCTGCACCAGCGCAGCGATTACGCTGACATCAAGCGTGAGCTAGAGATCGTCAAGGCCGTGCATTTCAATGCCGAAGACGACGACGACTTTGATCCTTCTGTCGCTGCCAACGGCAACACCGAGCACGATGCGACGAAACCACGTTCGACAGATGCCAAGAGTCTCGAAGCCTTGCTGCTCGAAAAGAACAAGCGACTCGATGACAATCTCGCGACGCTGCGTGTGTCCAACGCTGAACTGACCGCTTCGCTCGACAAGATCAACGGCAAACTAACCTCCTTAGAGCAGGAGCGATCGCACCTCAAAGCTCTCAACGACAAGCTCGAGATCGACCTCGCTTCCGTCGGTACCGGCGATCGCAGCACCGCCAAACGCTCCGCAACCATGTCCGCCGAGGAAGCTCTCAAGGAGATGGAATCGCTCGAAGCACAAGTCACGCAAGCCGGTCAACTTGGAAAACGCACGGCAGCGAATCACGATGGTGTCAACGGAGCCCCAGTCGCATCGCCAGCGAGATCTGTACCGGCTCTAGCCTCATCGCGACCGTCGATCTCTTCCGCTGCTCCCTCTGCCAGCGCTGGCGGTGACAGCAGCATCCTCCCCATCGTCACCTCGCAACGCGATCGCTTCCGCACTCGCAACGCGGAACTCGAAGACGAACTCCGCAAACAGTTCGAAACCATCAGCGAACTTCGCAACGAGATCAAGACGCTCCAGTCGGACAACCTGTCGCTCTACGAAAAAGTGCGCTACCTCCAAAGCTACGGTCCCGGCACAAACGCATCTGGAAGCCGAGGCGAGGCGATCATCCAGATTGGAGGAAACGGTAGGGACAGCGATGGTGCTTATCCTCCACCGCACCGTCCGGACGACAAGTATCGCGCGCGCTACGAGGAATCCATGAACCCTTTCGAGGCGTTTAGGGGAAGGGAACAGTCTCGTGCCATGGCGCAGCTCAACCCGCTCGAGAGGGCACTGCACATCCTCACCAGGTTGGTGCTCAGTCATCGACGCATGCGGCTGTTCTTCATGGTGTATGCTATCTTTTTGCACCTCCTCATCTTTGTCACGCTGTTCGAGGTGGGTCACACCTCGTCCACTCAGACGTGTTCGCTGCCACCGAGGTGATGCACTGGCGCTCAGGTCGCATACAATCAACACATTTCTCACAAAATGCATGTGTGAGAGAGTGTCTCTACGTGTGTGGGAAAGAATGACAGGGAGATTCGATTTGTTGGAAATGCGGATGATCTAGGAGCTCATTGTTGAGTGCTCGACCAGAAGCGGTTGGGGTGATCCTCGGTGAACGACCTCGACGAAGGGCTCGGGAGGGCTGGTGGTGCCAGACTTGGCATCCTCGAAGCGGGTCGAGCAGAGCTGGATGGCAGGCCGCCGACAGCGAGCAGACTGCCGCTTGCGGTGTGGTGCGTGTCGTCGTTCGTCATACCGGTGATGGCTGCAGGTCCGGGTAAGCCGGTGTGAGCGACACTGGCGCGCGGGATCCCAGCTTGATCGTCGGAGTATGTTGCGTGACTGGGGGCACCGCTGGCGCTACCGCTTGCGAGGCTCAAGGTAGAAGCCGGATGCATGGTCATGGACGAAGCAAGTGACGGAGGTCTTCTGTCGCGAGATTCGATGGGAGGCAAGGCGGGTGCTGTTGTGGAAGAGGCGGTGGTGGTGGTGTAGTTGTCTCCGCTGCGCAGCTGATCGACGTTTCGAAGCGGTGGGAGATCCATTGATCGACTCGTGGGACGATTGCTACCGTGATCAAAGCCTGCTGATGCTGTAGCTCCTGCGCCACCACGCAAACCTTCATCGTAGTACCTCTGCTCCCCCGCCTCGTTGTATCCGAGGTGACCGCTACCGGTCATCCCGCTCGACTGCACCTTTGCTCTCTCGACCCCCGCCGACGTCCCTGCCGCGGCCACCTCTCCACTGCTACCGCTGATATTCCCACCACCACCACCAGTCCTCTTTTTCTCCATCGCCTTTGCCTTGGCCCTCCGATTCTGAAACCAGATCTGTACCGCCCTCACCGGCATGTCGAGTTGCGCACTGATCTGCTTCCTCAACGTGGCATTGGGTTTCGGAACCTCTCGAAACGTCGATTCGAGCACTCGAAATTGCGTCTTTGTCGTACGACGTCGATGCTTGATCTCGAACGGATTGAGAGGGTAGAACCTAGAATCGTGCAGAGACGGTGGCAAATACGAGACGTACTGCGAAGAGAAGGATGGTTGGGAGTAGGCATCGTATCCACCACCGCTAAGCTGGGATGAGCTGGAGGAGGAACCGTAAACCAGTCCTGGAGACGGTAACGGTGCCGAAACGGAGGAGGGATAGGCAAGGCTGCCTGTCATTCCAGAGGCTTGCTGGTGGGTTGATGGATAGCCGTACGGCTGCTGAGTTGACAGAGACATCGATGCCGGTCGAGCGGCATACCCTTGATAGTGGTCCGAACCACCGGCAGTCATGTATCCGTGCGAGCTAGCTGCGCTACCCATGTGGGAGGAAGAAGAGTGGCTGCCACCTCCCAACATACCGGTCGGTGAGAGTGCAGGTAAAGAAGCTGCGCTCGATGTGTAACGATGATGTGCTACACCCCCAACACCCCCAGCACTCCCTGGCATCTCGGACGTGGAACGATGTGCGTCTCCTGGAGTCATGGTCGAAGACATTGCGAGTTCGCTATCGCTAGCCGCACTGTGGTCCCAGTATGACAATAGCGATCCTGAGGAAGACGAAGATGAAGGTGCAGATGGATCGACAGCCGTAGCCGAAGCAGCAGCCGTGTTGATGTCGGCCGGATGCGGGTAATGGTGCATCGCGGCACTGGCACCCGAGGAAGTCCAAGCAGGCGTTGAGACGATTCGGGGTACACTGAAACTTTGAGCAGCCCCGCGTTGTGCTAGCTGATGATGATGATGTTGCTGCGGCTGTTGATGGCGCTGCTGGGGGTCCGTGTGCTGCTGCTGATACTGTTGCCGCTGTTGTTGCGCATGATCTGAGTGGTGCTGCATGTGCGACGACTGTGGCTGATGCGCCTGCACAAGGTAGTGATGGCTTTGATGGCCTTGCCATCTACTCTGCGGATACATCAATGTCGTTGAATGTGCTGGTGCAATACCGTGTGGCTGCAGTGTAGTCATCGATGAATGCTGCTGCTGTGACTGATTGGTGAATGGGGAGGCCACTGGCGCTCTTTGCTGCTTTTGCTGCGGCTGCTGCTGCTCCTGTTGATGTTGATGATGCTGATGCGCGTGACCGGAGTCTATGGCGACGAAATGAGCTAGCGTGGGATGTTCACTGTCTTGCGATGCGTCCTGACGAGGATCTGGTGGTGGAGATGGTTCAAGAAAGCTTGGGTTCATCATCTAAATGATGGCAGCTGGTATTATGGAGAGCATATACAACGAACTTGACAAGAAACAAGAAAGAGTCGAACGGGTGTATCCTTTCGGAGCAAGCGAGGAGATCGCCGGGATGTCAACAAGTCCGACGGCTAAACGCAAGGAGCGGGACAGGAACAGAAGAGTGGTAAAGCGGATCGAGATTTGCACCGAGCCCCACGGCGTAGGCATCAGGAGCAGAGGGGAACCGTCGTGTGCATAGAATCTCGCTGGGCGTCAGGCGAAGCAAGTCGACTGTATCGGTGCCGGGACAAAGGATGCCAAGAGTCAGGGTCGCAGATCGCCAACCCGTCGGAAGGGATGGAGAATGATTTTCGGTGGGGCAACGAGCGGCAAGAGAACGAGTCGAGCGAGGTATAGAAGGATGGGTCCAGTCGTGTCGAGGTGGCAAAGACGATGGTGGTGAGCGTTGCAGACGGAGAGGCAGACCGCGAATGGCGCCGATGTCTGTGGCCGAATCGATTGGACTGACGGGGAGTGGACGCAGAACGGGCAGTATATTGGCAAACGCTAGATGAGGATCGAAGATGTCAGAGGGCAGATGAGCTACGGCTGGCAGAGTGAGTGGACGCTGGGACAGAAGCAGGACAGATATTGGAAAAGGGGAGAGCGGGGAGGGCGTCGGAGCATACAAACGGGTGCGGTGCAGCTGCAGGGCACCGAGCTCCGTGCAAGAGGCAATATGGGTGACTCGGGATCAATGGCAAACGGCGGAGGAATCTCGGGAGAGACGGTACTGTAGTGGCAAGGGCAAGCGGCGATGAGCACCAACAGAAGAAGCTCATAGCGCAGCGGAACAGTGAGCGTCGCATGAAATTCCGGACGTAGACCCCGGGCCAGCTAATGCTATGGTTGTCGATGATGGCGGCGCATATTGTGCCTGCGGAAATCGATGACGGGGAAGCTTTCTCACGAAGTACATCCTGGAGCTCACGAACAAACAGAAGCACGGGTGCAGGTGCATAGGCCAGAGACACGAAGCAGGCTAACCCAAGCAGGATCGTGACCACGATGCAAGGATCAGAGGAGACGCCACGGTTGCCCAGCAACTCGGGATACGGGAGGAGATACGGTACTTCGGAAGCCGCAGCCAGCTGTCAGGCAGCAACACAAAGAGAGTGCGCTGGAGGGTCCTTGGGCGGAATGGGAGAAGGCGCGAGGCCGCATCGGCCTGTAGCGGTGGTAAGAAGCGCGCTCGATCCGGGTAAGATCCATGAATAGCGTGTGACAAGGAACATCGGGGTTGGAAATGAGTTGAGGATCAAGGGAGGGAGAGAGCAGAGAACATGCATCGTGATGGCGGAAGACGGGGGGCGAGTGAGGCCAAAACTGACGTGCAGAACAGGCGAACCATCTAGGCGACCCAAAAGGGAGCAATTTGGGCTTCTCGGGTACTAGCAGCCGACCCTGGATGTGCCTGGAAGATGAAGATGAGCCTTGGCTACCGAAATGCCGACGTCAATTTGCAGTCATCATCAAGAGGAAAGGAGTGCCAGCGGAAGGGGAAAGAACTCCGCCTGGCTCGAGATTGTTGCATGTCGCGGTCGTGGTCTCGCGCTGCTTCTGGGATGACCAACGCTGATGGGGCGCTCGCAGTACATTGTTCAAAGGGATTTCGATGAACAGCATGTTTCAACGCTACGGTTGCGGGCGCGGATCCGGGAGGCTGATTGAAAGGGCGGCAGAAGCCACGTCGCTGGCGGGTCCACACAGCTGGGGCGGCGGTGGGAGCAGCAACAGCGACATCAGCGGTGCCTGTGTCAGCGAGCCTCGTGGTCTGGTCCTGGTTGCATGACCAAGCGTGGGCAGAATAAGTAGCAAACCGATAGCTGCAACGGCACATGTTCAACTCCGCTCGAGGAAATTGTTTGGAAACGAGGCGGATAAAGTAAGGGAGAAATTAATTATTGCCTTTTAGGCTGAGCAGATGCGCGAGAACACAAAGTTGGACCAGAAATTGTGACAGCACATCGAACAGCGCATTCGCCTTCCCGTCTCTCGGTTGCTCTGCCGAAGCGCGCCGATTCAGCCTAAGGCCGTAAAGCGTGGGTATGGTTGCCATGCCAATGCACCCGCTCTCGGCTGTCCTTTTCTTTGCATCTACACCAGTTTCATGTCGAGCAGGAGTGTGGCTCAACTCTGCGGCTGAGCTTTGGGTGCTCAGTGCCATCTTGCCGGTTCAAGCCCCCCTGCCCTGGTGGTCCGGATGAACCTCTACTCCGGTGTTGCGTCTCGCCCTTTGTCGTTGTTCGTTTTCGCCGGTGGGCGGCGTGGACGAGTCTAGACCAGGTCCAGCAGCACATCGATGTGGCGCAGGCTTGCATCTTGTCTCTGATGATCGTCCCGACTGTTCCGAGCTGCTGCACAGTCCTGCAACGTGGTGACTGGCTCACCTCGTGCTGCACAGCCGCGACGTCGCTGCCTGAAATCTCGCGCTGGTTCGTTTCAACATGCTGTGAAGCGGCTTTCTTCCTCGTCGTGCGGCTCTCAAACCTTGGACCGTTTCCACGTGAGACAGAACCGCATGCTGTACCAAATCAGGACCGCTCTCTTGGACGTTTTCCATCGCATTGCTGCTGCATCGGTCACAGCTGCAAGGTACAAATCCCCGAAACATGGCAGTCCGCTGCAAGCCCAAGTACACTCTTCTCTCAACGTGGGCTGCATGGTCAAGCAACGTCTCGCTTCCGATCGATTAGGCTCATGCGGGACTTGATGCTGCTCATGGCAAGTTTGAAACACCTTGACCGACCCTGGCTCTGCCTACCAGACCCTATGTCCAGCATCTTCACGTGGCCGTATAATGCTTCTCCCATTCGAGACTTTGGCTTGATGATTGCTCGTCCGCCCATCTTGGTCATTCATCATCATCATGTTTCTTGGCAGCCTAATCTGTGTCCTTGTGTCTTCATCTCGCTTAGATAACGTCCAAAAAGTTTTGTTCTTATTTTTTTTTTTTTGCTCTTTCTTTGGCGGTGTTGGAATCGGTCGCTTCCCGTTGCAGACGAGCATATGCGCGATTCCGAGAGCCCGTCACTTGCGCAAAACCGATATTCTGCCGGCCAGTTTTTGCAGCCTCGCCCGCATCATACGTTGAATTGCCACTCGATTTCATACCAGAACCAGTGCTGCTGTTGTGGCTGCAGGTATACTGCTTGATCCCGAGCCTTTCCGATCCGAAACCTTCCTGGTACGCCATCGGGCAACACTTTGGGACGTCGGGCGATAGCATGGCTTCCGATTCATCGATGCACGCGCTGTGCATGCTTGCCCATCGGGCCTGGTGTGGGAAATTCTTGCCCCGAAGTTTGCGGCGATGTGTCGGAGTTGAGACTGCTTCAGACCGTCTGTCTCACTCTGCCCAAAGTCGAAGTCTATCGATCGGGCCGCTTCGTCTTTTCTCGCGACCGGGTCTGATTGCGACCAAGTCTGGTAGTTGCGCTGCCATACACGGTCTGACGAGCTGGCCTCGACACGGCTGCCCGATGCTCGCCTCTCAAGCCTCTGATCATCACATTGCCTCAGACACACCATCTTCACAGCCATGTCGTGAGATCAGCCAGAACACACGTCCATGTTTCGAAAGATAAATTACACCCAACGTTCGACGATCGAGCACTTTACATCTTCTGTGCAGCCGGATCCTCACATGGTTCGGGTACAGGAACGCTAGCGTCGATCGGAGGTAAGACTACCCGACCCACTTTGTGGTACTTTGCGTGCTGGTCGTAGAACTGCTTCCACGTCACCAGATCCTGTTTCGTCAAAGCGGTTTACAGCAAGGCGAGAAGGGAGGAGAAGTTGTCAGCTGTCTTCTGCGTCTTCCATGTCGCTGCTTATCTTCACTTACACCCATCTGCTTGTCATCAAAGTCGCGAACGTCGTGTGTCAAATGCGTCTTGAAACACCCCGTCACGTATGCACGACTCGCGTCTCTACCGCTAAAGAACGAGTAGTATCCTCCGGGCCCGTAGATCCGTCTTCCTTCGGTAACATCGTACACGTCGCCTAGGATGGCAATGTAGATGGGCTTTTTCGGATCACGTCCGTTGTACATGGCTAGTTCGGGAATCGAGAAGATCTTTTCTCGGTACTGTTCGGACAAGGTCGAAGCAGATTGAGCGGTGAGTCAGCTTTGGTGATTCTTTCGAAGCGGAGACCGCGAAAAGGTTCAACTTACAGGCAAGTACGTCCTCAACCTAGTATACTTGCCACGGTAGCCCCAGAGCGGATCGCCCGCCACAAAAAAACCAGACGCCATCAACACTGCCGTCGCCATGACGGCGAATCGAAACAGCTTGACAATCATCTTGAGCGGTCCCGTGAGATCGGTCGTCTCCTCGCGGTGGTCGTCGTGGTGCTTTCCTTTCTTGCCACTGCTACTACTGCCGGTGCTAGAGCCTTGTTCGGCTGCCGCCTTCCTTCTTCGAAGCTCCTGTTCCTCTTTCCACTTCTGATGCACCAGAAAGGGCGAATTGGCTTTCTTCTTAGGCACGGATCGCGATGGGTTGGAAGGATCAATGTCTCGCTCACCTGTCGCAGAGGTCGACGACGACGTGGCTGTCGTCGCCGCCTCGGTTGCCTCAGGCGTCGGCGTCACCGTTCCAGATCCCGCCGGCGTCTCGCCGCGTGGTCGATCGGATGGTCCGGGGATCGTCTTCCATCGATCGTTGGCGACGTAGGGGTCCGAGGTGAAGGTGGCGAAAAAGTCACGGAAGAAATTGCGCCATGGAGCCCTGTCGGTCATGCGTGAGAAAGAAAGGTCCGGTCGGTGGTCAGTTGGTGAGCTCTGGTTGTCTAACACTCCGGCTCGTTGTCGTCTGGGACTCACTGGGAAGGTAGCGAATGTCCTCCGTCGTGTAGCTCGACTCGCGAGTTCTTGCATACGTCGACGAGGCTTTGGGAGCGCTCCAGATCCACAATCTGGTCGGCGCGTCCCAAGACGTGCAGGACAGGTGTCTCGATGGGCTTCTCGAACAGCTTCTGGTGCAACTTGTCGCGGCTGCGGAAGCCCGAGACGGCGACAGCAAACTTGAAAGCACCCTGACCCTTTGGCAGACGAAGCCCGGGCATACGATCCGGGTTCTCAAAGGCACTGGCAAGGATACCGGCGAGACAACCACCCTGCGAAAAGCCTACGATACCATCAAAGGGACCCTCCTTTCTCAGCACATCATTGATGTAGTGGACCGACTGATCCCAGTCCAGATAATTTCCGTCGTCGTCGGCTCTCCACCATGCTCGTGGCTGCTCCTCGATCGGCGTGTCTTCATCCACCGCTTTGCCATCTTCCACATCGGGCGCATCCAAATCCCCGGCAGATGTGATGGGCTGGACGAGCAGCGGACCGTTGATGAATGTAAAGTCGGCCACGTCCCTGCATGCCTTTCGGATGGCTCCGGAGCGCTTGAAGAATTGGAATTGGTTGCTCGTGTAGCCATGCGCCATGAGCACCTTGATCTTGCGAGTGGCACCTGCCGTCGTCATTGTGGTTGTCTGAGCGCCGACGATACAGGCGTCGGTCCTGTGCAGAAGATGGCCGAAAGAAGCAAGAGTGTTTCAAAGGTCGATACCGCTAGCTTGGAGCGCAATGTTGCTGTATGGTTCGTCTCAAAGGCAGCAAGCGGATTGTCTTGAGTCAATTCAAGGGAGATGCAGGAAGGATTGAAGCAACGAACCAACTTCAAATGGTCCGACCGCGTGCGGACGGACCCTTGCCTTCCGACGACTTAGTGCCGCCGTTTTTCTTTCTCGGCCGGCAACTTTGCGACTCAACACAGCCAAGGATCGAGACTTTCAACCACTCGAAGCGAGGCTGACTCTGTGAGCTGTAACATTTTCTGTGCAGATGACGGTGAAACCCTGGGTCCCAAATAGGAAGAGAATGGAGAATATGTAAGGAAGGCAAAAGGCGGATCTGGCATCACGCTGCTGCGATGCCATCAACATTGATAATGATAGTCGGTTGGGAAGATGACGCCGTCGTGCCGCACAATCAGGATCGGAACCCGACCACGTGGAAGGCCCTGGTCGAAGCTGGGCGGGGCGGCGCATACGATCGTTTGACGTGTCCTTACCTCGACGTGCGTACTCTTCCAGTCGCCGAAAAATACGAACAGGTTCGGGTGGAAGTTTTCGCCGAGGATGGTGACAAGACCTGGTCTCTGATCGCCCGCTGGCGCTTGCATCGGCTGCGCTCTGGTGTCTCGCTGCGGCGCAACCACGTTGGTGATCACGGGGATCGGCGTGATCGGTTGCGCTGGAGCAGGCACCGTGATCAAATGTGCAATGTTGCCGTCGGTGATGTTGGTCTGAGGCTGAGAGCCACCGACGATCTGCGGGGGCACGTAGAACGAATGGCGCGCGATGTCGGTACCCACCACTGTCCAGATGTCCGAGTCGGCCACCTCGACGGACCACATGGCGCCAGGCGCCGTGCTGCCTGCTGCTGACGAATCAGAGGCCATCGAGGTGGCGTAGGACCCGGTGCGACGCATCACCTCGACGTCTGATAGGCCCTGGTTTTGTATGCCCACAATCGAAAGCGACTGACCACGTCGGCGATTCTTGCTGGCGGCAGCGGCAGCAGCGGCTCTTTCCTTTTGCACCACCACCGAGGACGACACTCGACGTGGTCGCTTGACCTTACCTCCATCCGAAGAGGGCGGCGGTTCCATCGCAGAGACGTCGTGCGAAGACGTCGAGGCCGAGGGAGACATCAGCGTGCCACCTGCTCTACCGGTGCTGAGAGAGTAGCGGGTCTGCGCTGCTGCATACTCCGCAGCGCTCGTCGGGCTCATCGGCAGATAGCTGCCCGAAGATTCCATGCCCTCCATAGCAGCCAGGTTCATCGATGTGACGGGAGTTGTCGGCGTCGAAGGTACGCTGAAGCTGCTGTTGGCCGTCCATCTCCTGGGCTCGCTCGGCCTGTGCATGCCGACAGACTCGTTCAGGCAGGCCAGGAACGGACCGCTATTGCCGGGAGAAGCGCTCTCGCTCGCCTCGCCCGAGGACCGCGGCGCCGACGCTGGCGAATCTTCGAGCACTTCGAGGGCAATCTTGTGAAGCTGCGAAACGGGATCGCCAAAAGCTTCGCGCGCGATCGACTCTGCCGGCCCGGCCGAAGCACCGCCCAGCACCGTCGTTCCCTTTTCCACCTTCCGGACCACCATGACCGGACTAACGACAGCAGTGTTGAGACACTGCAGCACGATCGGTTGGTTATAGTGTATTGTCATCTGTGAGCTGGTCATGCCAGTGGTGGGCAGAGCGTTCGGAGGCGGCGGAGGATAGCCCTTGACAGGAGGCTGCAAAGGCTCGGACGGCGTCGCGTCGGCGCGCTTTTTTGGATCGACCAGGTAGATGATGAAAGGATCCCAGCTTGACATCTTAGCGACAAAGCAACTCGGTGGCTCCTGGCCCTTCTGGTCACGCGGATTCATGTTGAGGAAAGGCTGATTGTCTGAGCCCTTGAACCACGAAGGTGCACCCGACACGCACAGGTAGCGCGTCGACACGGTTTGGGATCGAAGTCGATGGAACAGCGAGATAACCGAGCCGTGATTGACGCAGAGTTCCGTGTTGCGTGACGATTGACGCTTCTTGCTCGGCTTGCTGATGACCTTGATGGGCCGGCTGGGGAACGTTCCAAGCAGACGCCGGTCCATGGGCGAAGACCCTGGCACGGAAATGGCGACGAGGGCCTCGACGTGGCGTCGTTTTTCGTCCACGTCGGAGATGTAGAGCTGCTTGCCGATGCACCGACCCGAGATGGCCATCTCGGACGATGGGTTGCCTACATCGATCAAACGCCCGCTGCTGGAAGCCCATTCGAGCGCGCCGTCTTGGATGCCAGGTTCGCCGCTGATGTTGATGGTGACGCGAGGCGGTGAGAGCACCGTCGGTGCCGCCTGGTCCGGATCGACGGCGCCGGGGGGCGCGAACGGAGAAGGACGTGTCGAGGCCGGGCACGCGTTCCACCAGCTGCTTCCGATGAGGATGACCAGAGGCGGCGGGCATAGGAAGCGCTTCTCGGCGCCATAGCTCTTTTGCGCGACTCTGGTCGTCATGATGAGCACGTTCCGCTCGCCGAGACCGAGTCGGCTTGGTGTCGAGATGTACTGACGGACATAATCTTCGATGAAGGCGGAGCAATCGCCAAAGTTGCGCTCGGCAACGCCCAAACCGTGAACCTGACGCAGCTGATTCATCTCGGCCATCGAGACTTGCTGGTACAGGCTGGGTCGCATGTGTGGCGGATACGACATCTGGTTGTTGCGGAATGTGGATGATGCATCCAAAGGCAGACTGTGGATCTGATCAGATCGCGAGCGCTGCAAGACCGGCGGGATTTGACCCGATGGAAAGTGCGAGTGTTGTTGTGGTTGCTGTTGCTGATGTACGGGATGCTGATGCTGGAGCTGATGAGGATGCGTGTGCTGATGCTGCAGCTGTTGCAACGCATGATGCGAGGGAAAGCCAGAATCAAAGGTAGGCGCGGATCTCGATGCCATTGCGCGGCCGTCGCTCTGTGATGCATCTTCCTCTTCTTCCAAAATGGTTGGCGTGCTGTGGCCCTCGCGTTGATGCGCGGTCGAAGCCGGACCACCGCTGATCGAGGCGCTAGTGGCTAGGGCTGACGAGAGACGCTGCTCGCTGAAGCCAGCAATGTCAAAGCCGTCTGCGGGGTGACCGCCTGGTGTCCCGAACTGCTGAACAGCCTCGATCGAGGGTGAGAAGAAGGGCGTCATGCTGGACGAGTGCGAACCAAAATGCGTCTGCGGTGAGTATTGCGACTGAGCTGGAGACGTCAGGGTCGGACTGAATTGCTGCATCTGCGGCGTCTGAAAGCCATGACCTGAGTAAGGACCACGGAAGCCTTGCGACTGTGCCATGTGCGAGTGAGTGGGGCTCCAGGGCTCCATCCCTCCCGCGCCCGAATGACGGGGACTCGAGAGGGGACCTGGCATCCCTGGACTCTGCATCTGTCCTAAATTCTGTACGCTGCGACTTTGCGAGAGGCCGAGGTGCGGAGATGCGCTTTGGAACGATAGAATCTCGTTCTGCATGCTTGTCGTCCTCGTCAGGCCCGATATGGGTCGCACTGCTGCGCCGCTGCCTGAACTCGAACGCGGACGACTGCCGAGCTGCGCCTCGCTGCCGGAGCCTGTGCCCGTTCCAGTGCCCGCTGATGAAGTGAAGCTGGCGACAGACTTGAGTCCGCGACTGGCGGGTCGACTGCCCGGCCGTGACGAAAAGGCGCCCGAGAGCGTGGAGCTGGGACTGTAGTGACCAGCGCTGAACTGCGACATCAGGGGCGAACTGGGAGATGCGTTCACGCCAAGGTGGGCGGAGGATGGACCCAACCTCTCTGGAACGCCGGGCATGCCGACGAACGCCTCGGCTTGGTTGATGTGTGGACTGTTGCGACCATGGTCTGAGCCTTGAAGCACGGAAGCGGGGCTTTTCGAGGCCGAGTCCTGGCTGAGGTAAGTCGACTCGGTGCCAAAAGCCGGCATGAGTGCAGAGCCGGCGGTCAAGGAGGCATCGTGCATGGTGGTGGCGGATTGCTGTTGCAACACGGCGTGCTCGTCGTACATGGACGGCTGAAGCTGCGGCAAGGGCGCAAAGCGCGTCTGGAGCGCATGTGGTGTAGCCGCACTGCCGGTACCGGTGGATAAGGAGTCGTCACCGGTTGAGCCGGGCAGGTCGTGCACTCCGCCCGACGCAGCCGGAGCCATATCGATCTTGAGCGCTGCTGGGCGAGCCGCCCTTTGGAGACCGGTGGACACAGTCGCAGAAGCCGCGTCCCGATCAGCTTCGTTGGACGCAGACACATGGCTCGACCAGCTTTGCTCCGAGCCTGTCGGTGGCCGAGAGAGCGATTGGCCATCGTGCTGCGAGAGGTAGTCGGTAGAATTTTGAGGTGTGCTGTGCTGGCCAGCGAGCTCGGGGTTGGAATCATCAACCACCATGTTGTGCTGATCTACGTAGAGCGAGGCATCGGATTGCATCGAAGCCGGGCGACCGGCAGACAAGTCGGCGGAGGTTGATGCCTGATGTTGGAAGCGGTTGTGCTGCTGTGGCAGGAGAAAGGCTGGATCGTTGTGAGGCTGATGCGGATTGTGATGGGAGTGATATTGGTGGGGCTGCTGCTGCTGCTGTTGCTGCTGCTGGAACGAGAATGGATAGGTGGATGGATCTGGTGGCAAGGCGTGCGGATCCTCCGATATTGAGGCGCCAAACGCAGAGAGCTGATTCGCCGATGTTGACGCGTGATGCGCGTTTTGCGAAAGATCGTATTGGATCTGGTGTGGGACGTGCGTTTCTTGGGAATGTGGTGTGCCATCTTGGGTATGAAGGTGGAGCGGCGGTTGTGCATGGGCCTCTTGGGACCACGTCGGCTGAAACATGCCTGATGAAGAAATGGCCGAAGCGTGGCTTGGCGCTGCAACGATGCACAACGACGCGTTGCGAGGCTGCTGATGTCGAACAAGAGAGTCGGTGGTGAGCAGTGTCGTATGTGGACGTCCGCAGACCTGTTCGGCTCGCTTCTACACACAATGACCGGAGCTGCGCGACTTCTAGGGGCCAAGATGGCACAGCAGAAAGAGCCAAGGCTGTGCGTACGGGAGCATCTACACGCAAGCGGCAATGGCGAAGCTGGCTCGGTAGTGGGAGGAGTTGGTGTCGGTATGCTGACGGGACCAAGCCTTCCGTCTGAGCGGGTATATGTTCGGAGGGTCTTGTCCACAGCGCTCGAGAGGCGTGACCGAGCGCTCACAACTTGGAGAAAGTGAGAGAGGGAGGTGCGGAGACGAGAGATCAGGCGGCGTTTGCGACGATGACGGCCGGCGTTGAGAAAGTGCGTGGGGACGGAAGGTGCCAAGATGAAGCAGGCTGCAGAGACAGGCAGGAGCAATCAGAGGCGAGCAACTGCTCGACAAATTGGAGCGTGCGAAGAATGAACTGCAAGCCAGGATGCGTTGCAAGCCGATGTCGAATCGGTGTTGGATCGACTGGAACCGCTGCCGGCGTGGTTTGCTGGGCGACAAATTGAAAAGGAGCCGGTGAATGCCACCAGCTGGCGCTGCCCAGAGTCGCGGAGGCAGAAAGAGGGACGTTGCCGAGTCGAATCAAGGGCGTGCCTAGGCAGGCAAGTGGCTCGATGGGCGGCGGTGCGTGTTGGGGGTCGCGCTCCCACAACCTTGATTCGAGGAAATGAAATCAGACCGGGAACCGTCAAATCACAGAGAGATGTGCGAAATCGAGCAAGCGGACGGCTCCAGTAAGTTATCCGTTGGGCTGCCAAGGCGTTGCAGGTGGCTTGATGACGACGATGAGCGAGCGACCTGCGCCACGGCGGCTGCGTATGTGTGAGCGAGAGGAGACAAAGGTATCCGATGCGTTGATGGCGTGTAGGAGGGCGCCGAGACAGCTGAGCTGGTCGGGTCTAGGACTGAGCCGCGCGCGATAGGGAAGGAGAGGGGGGGAGAGTAGAGATGGAGGCGGTATCGAGGATTGTGACGAAGCAAAGCACGAGACCACGGCGGTGACAATGAATGACAGGCATGCGAGCGGAAGGGCCGACAGGCTTCTCAGATGGCCCCAACGGACACCACAGGCTTGAAACACGGATATTGTATGGAAGTGCCGACATGGACCGTGTGTTTCGACCCAAAGGGGCAGGCAGATAGACGAGAGAGCCAAGCGAGCCAAGGTTGGCCTGGCCTCCCTCTGCCGCTCGTCTCTGCCGCTCTTCGCTCGCTTCGCCTCTGCTGGCGCAAAAAGCGAACTAAACTTCGCAAGCGGCGCCCTGAGCAAAATCTCTTGTCACGATGTTGAATTCTTTGCCTTTTGCAGCCACCTCGCCAACTTGCCGTCCTGGAAAAGGCTCTTTGCGCTGTCATTGCTCCCGATGTCGATTCAAATGCAGGAGGGAATAACTTAGGTACAGGGCAGTACTGCACCACAACATAGCTGAGACTTGCTGGACTTGAGTGTCAAACGCACGTCTCGGCAGGCAGAAGCAGCAGCCGCAGCCGCAGCGGCAAGCGTGTCAATTGTGTTGCGTTTCTGACGTCTGGTGCTGCGCTGCGCTGCTTTCGGGAGGCGGCTAAGGCTTCGAGCCACACTGTTTTTCGGTGCGCGTGTGTGTAAATGTGTGCCCGCAAGTGCGCCTGGGTCTGTGGCCGCCAGACCCTGACGTTCTTTTTGCCTTTTTGCAGGATAAGTTTCTCTGCTCGAATTCGACCACAGCCAGGAAGCAAGGCAAACGAGAGAGGCAGAACGAGTTCGGTTTTTCCGTCTCGCTTGCCTTCCACAATCGCGATCGCTTGGAAGCAGAGCTCATGTTGATCATTGATCGTCTGCGAGCGAGAACCTTTTCCATTTGGCTGCCTGACATGGACGCGGATTTGCCGCCGAACGCCATTTCGATAATTCTCTGCAGGGCAATCCCTTCAGAGACGACAAAGCAGAGTCCCTCGTCTTGATCTGAGTTATTGTGGCTGCTTCGAGCCCGCGAATGCCGCCTCCGTCGGGTAGCGGACGCTTCTCAGCAGAGTTTTGAAAGGCGTCTGCTGATTCTGCAACGAAGAGCCGCTCTGCCGAAGTCGTCCCATCGACAACGATGTGTGCTCTTTGCAAGTGGTTGATCGCACATTGATTCGCAAGCGTAGAAATCAGAGACCAAGGCGGCGACTCGCTTGGCAAGAAGATCGGCAGATCTCACTCGCAATCTGGTCTGTTGGATGTCGCCGAGTCAAGCTTGTTGATCGAAACACGTGCATTTCCAAGCCTAAATTTTGGCCCTCTTTTTCCACTCTGCCATCAAGATTCCGTGTGCCTAGCATTGATTTCCACACTCACTGACCTCTCGTCGGACATGGCCGAGGGCGCAATCCGAAACATGCTGACGATGACATTCTGGCCATCCTCGTGATCGGTTCGCAGCCATTAGGAATGCGGATCATGAGGTAGTGTCTCGACCCTCCGATTCTTCTCCGAAGTCCGACCGGTCGAACCAGATGACTACACGCGCGGCACGAAACCAACGGACAGCCAATCAACATGCACGGCAATCTGCACCGGAAACAAGGTAAATCAGTCGGAGCGTCCACGACGTGGGGAAAGAGTTCCGGCTCATCCCAGCGATGTCGATCCGGTCTTGACCTGTCGAATGGAGACGTTCGTTTCCATCGCTACCAGCTTCAGCAGCACCTGAAACGCCGGCAATACGTCACCAAGAACGTCAGCGGCGCGGAGTACGGCCGGTGATCGTGCTTGCTGCGTGCACAGTGTACGTCACACCCGCTGCGTAGTAACTGCGTCCAAGCTGTGCTTAGACAAATCATGGCAGCGGAACCAAAAGATTTGATGGAGCAAGGCACGAGGCGAGGTCAAGTGATTTGGCGAGCCAGCCCAAGGTCTGACGAGACGAAATTGGTACAACCCCTGGGAGGCCAAGAAGGGCGACGGTCGTCGGCCCTTTGAGATCCGGGCGAAGAAAACCAAAGGGGCTTCTGTTGTGCTACCGTGGTGACCATTGACCACCGCCGACAGTGCTGCAGTGCTGTGCCTGGCTTCCCCCGCGCCTGTTGCAGTCTGTCTTCCTTTTTCGGGGTTTTCCCCGGTCTCGTGTTCTCGTGTCCGCGCCCGCGCCCTTGCGTCGGTGATGGCAAACCCAAAATAGGAAGGAATTTTCCGTCCCGCGAGGAGAAAATAACCCGAACTTTCGTCCTCATGCGCCCCCTCAGCAGCTACGCCAACGTTTCCTCAGTTTGTTCGGAAGCCTTGACCGGTCTGTTGCTCCGGCTCTTGCGGACAGGCAGACACAGGCCCTTGGCTCTTCGGTTTCGGACCGATAGTTCAGCGACGCGGACACAGTGAAACAGTGTATGTGTAATTCGATACGTTCCGCTCTTTCGCTGAGGTCCGCACCCGCTGCAAGCATTTTGTGCCCCGCTTCTCCGCCTCCCTTCACCCTCCTTTCGTGCTCGGTGCAAAGATGACCATTTCGGCGGGCGGATTACGTTATCTTCGGCCGAGGCACCGAGAGGGCCCAAGTCGCGAGCGTCAGGTCGGCCGCATAGGTCTTTGAATACTCTTTGAACATAACGACAACCCCGCGTTTTCCAGCCTTTTTGGCTGCCGCGTGCTCTGCCTCGCCCCTCGCGTGGCTATTCGCTCGCACTGCGGTGCTTGATGAGAGAACCCTTGGCGATCCCACGCTGTCATCGTTTCCTGTTGTGCGCTGCTGCTTCCACTATACGTCGGAACCTCACCCACGAACTTCTTCTTCTGAGCCAGCCTGCATGCTACAGTACCACGCTTGCCTACGAATGGCAGCTCGCGGACGCGGAACCAGGAGCGACAGCATTCAGCCGAACCGGGATTTTTTTGATTAAATATATTGATAAAAGAAAACTTAGTCTCTCTTTTTTTTCCCCCGCCCCGCCCTCGGCTCGCTTCTAGCTTCCAAATTTCTCCGCAGACTGTTGTGGCAACTCTGAACAGTAGCACCGCTTGTCTGTTGCTTGGATCAGTCAGTCGGGTCGATTGGGCACCAAACGTACACCTGGCCTCAGCCGTTCATCCTGCTGCCCCGCCTTGTCCGACCCTGACTTTTTCTTCTTTTGTTTTGGCGTTCCGCATGAACCGCTGGGCGGGCACTTTGTGACAGAAGATACCATCGTCGCCGGGCAAACCGGTCAAGCTCCCACTTCTCGCGTGCGACTCCGCCTCACCTGCTGAGCTCGTGGCCCTTTCCATGCACAGCACACACAATAGGGCAAAGGGCTCGCTCGACTCTCCCCCGGACCGTGCTGCAACGGCTCTATCCGCCCATCTCGTTCTCCTCCTCGCTTCTGCCCACCTTTGGCACAGCTACACTGTACGCTGAGACCACTCTGCGTCGTCTCGTGGCGAGCGCGACTCAGGAACCACACAGATGTCCGCATCATCGACTTCCCTCCGCCTCTGCTGCTTCCTCACCTTCGTCCCTTGCTCTTGCTTGCCTGACCGCTGCATCCATCCTCCTCGTCTCTCTGTTCCACCAAAGCCATCCACCAACATTGTTTTAGCTCCCTCCTTCGTTTCTACTGCGTCCTTGCTTGCTCCTTGACAATTGCCATCGTCAAATCGACGACATCATCCTCCGGATCTGGCTACCCTCCGCTTTGCGCATCCTGTAACCAGAGGGGGCACCAATCCGAAGCTCCGGCATCTCCTCGACGGCCGACCACGCATCCGCTCGACGATCATCGCCTCTTTGCCTCGTTCGGACATCTTTCTCATAGCTGCACTCCACACCAACACGGCTGTACATTCAGGCTACATAAGCCTGCAGACTGGACACGGCTGCCAGCTACCGAAAGGAGCGCTCCACTCACATCGTCCTCAAGCTCCGCCGCCTCTGGGAGTACGTCTGCCCTGGTCAGTCTCGCGCGCTAATCTCCTCACTCGTATCGCCATCATGACAGAGTCAGAATCTCACGGAGCCTCACGCGAGCCCAAGCTTCCCCCATTGAGTCCATCGCTATCGCGCACGTCGGACGCTCCCATGTCATCCTCTAGCTTGAGGCGACATCCGCTGTCACCACCCATGCTTCCGTCCGCATCCTCAGGCTCGGCTTCGGGCTCGCCTCTGCCCCCACCTCATCCGACCCGAATTCACTCATACCATCATCCCATCTCGGCATCATACGCTTCCAACAGCAATGCGGGCGCCAGCCACAACAACAACAACAACAACAACAACAACAACAACAACAACAGCAGCAGCAGCAGCAGTAGCACCTACTTTGATCGCGATCGACCCACCGTGTCATCGCTTTGGAAAGGCGCTCGATCGCCTCCCCTCGAGCAAGCATCGTCCGACGCCGCAGCTTCCTCCTCCTCGTTTTCGCGCGTTCTGCCGCCATTGTCAATCTCGAGCTCGAGCTCGAGTGGCAGCGTGTTCCAGTTGCCTTCTTTGTCCTCCAGCCTCCCGTCATCCGCCTCCTGGCACGCGCGCCTGAATCAACAGCAAGCTGGTCAGATTGGATCTGGTCCTCACGCTTCGCCCTTCCGAGCAGCGAGCGAGGCGCATCCCACCGACTCGCGCAGAACAATCCAAGAGACCAAGCTGCTCTCACTCTCCGGTCAGTGGAGCGACCTTGCTGGTCCTGGTAGGCCACTCGCCACCGACGCTTCACCTGCTGGCCTCAGCTCTCCTGGCATCGACGAGCCGTCGCAGGCTGCACGCAAGCAAGCCAAGGCGCATGTACCTTCGGCGTGCCTCAACTGCAAGCGTGCGCACCTGGCTTGCGACGTAGGCAGACCTTGCCGTAGATGCATCAACCTGGGCAAAAGCGACACCTGCATCGACGTGCAGCACAAGAAGCGTGGGAGACCTCGTTTGAAGGATCGCCCTTCGTCACAGGCCGGCGTCACGACGTTGCAGACGCTCGAAGGCAAGAGCGACATCTCTGGCTCGCCCGCTTCGGCCTCGTATGCTCGTCAATCGCCAAGCTCCGAGTCGGGCTACTTTCGCTCACCCACACGTACCAACGAGCTCATGTCGCCGCCACTGCTATCGTCGAGCTCGGTCATGCACGTCTCTGGCCGGACGCATGGTCCGGCGTCTCAACCGCGCAGCGCATCCAACTCGGTATCTGCTTCCAGCTATCCCTACTCGCGACCGGACCACGTGCGCCACCCGATGAATGTCTCGAGCGGATCCGGATTTGGTCCTCCGGCGTCATCGTGGTCATACCAAAAAGATGGCTCACAGGCGCTTGGACCTGCTCAGCAGATGACGGGTCGTCACCACTCGCACTCGATCTCGTACGAGCAGCAGTACGAACCGTATCAGCACCAGCCGTACCACGCCCATCAGCAGCATCAGCAACACCAACAACACCACCAGCACAGCTCTAACGGTCGTCACGCTTCGCAGCCGACCACCGGGTCACAGGCGGCATTCCCGGAGGCTGAATCATCGGACAGCATCATGTCGGCTGTAGTGACCATGATCTGCTCGACCAATTTGCAGTGTGCTCGCATTTCGGAAGAGTGCACCGCGCTGCTGGGCTACCAGCCGAGCGATCTCAACGAGCGATCCTTGTTTGAACTCGTCCATCCATCCGAGACGGGTCGGCTGCAAGAGATTTGGAGCTCGCTCATCGACCCGGTGGGCGTTGTTCCACAGGCAGTACCTGCTGCGGCCGAAGAGGTGATGAGCACGCCGGCATCTCGGCTCATGACGCCCGCGGCAGGCACCATATTCGTGCAGGAAGACATGCGGCTGAGACAGCGTAACGGCATGTACGATTTCTACAGTGTGCGACTGCACCTGGGCGGCGGTTTCGGCGTTGACCTGTACCGGAGAGAGACGCTAGATCGTGCCTACATTGTTGCAAGTTTGCTCAAGCTGGGTAACGATGCGGCGCATCCGGATCCGGCCATCTTGCGTTCGCCATACTCGCACGATGGCAGCCAAGGAGCCCGCTTTCGCACTCCGTCCGGGCCATCGGCGACTTCCAGGGCGACGCCGGACACGGAACAGCACCAGCACCAGCATCATGAACAGCACCAGCGCCATCGCTCTGGATCAAGCCTGCAGCGACCTGCTCATCTCGAAGGCGGTGGACGAGCGGGCGATGCCGCCAATCCGTCCAGCAAGGATGAAATGGCGCGGTCCGAGAAACGCCGCGGCGCCGTCAAGCGAAGTAGCGCCGAGATGGACGAGGACGAGCCGGCATACGCGGACGGCTCGGCCCCTTCTCATGGCGCAGCCACGGCTGCGGCAAATGCGCTGTACACCGCGTCCAAGGCAGCCGCGCGCTCATCGCCTCCTGCGGTGCGATCCATGCTGTCGGAGCGACCACGTAACGGAACCACCAGTCGTGACGGCATACTTTGCTGAACCCTTCACCACGCTTCACCTGGAACACGGTTGATCGATTTGCATTGTATTTCTAGCAACTCCAGGCCATGCTAATGGCACCTCGATCCACAGCAGTTTTGAGAGAGAGACAATGAGATTGGCAACACTTGGTCGATGCTTGCCGACGATCCCGAGAGAAAGTCGATCATGTCAGATCGAATCAACGAATTCGAACCAAAAAGAAGAAAGCAAAAAAGTGAGATTTTTCGAAGGTCGAGAATTTGGATAATTCTGGTGGGAGACTCCACCCTAAAGTCACGGCTCAGTCGAGAAATCTGGCATCTGCTTGCTTGCGCTCATATCGACGCTTCACCCCTCTCATCGCCATCGACTCATACTACTTCGCGTTCAAACGGTGCGGCGCGCAACAGACACCATACAAGCGCATGGAGATGCCCAGGTAGGATCAAGTGTCGTGAGGCTCGAACATCGGTCTTTCTTATTCAGCATCGGCAATCCAGACGAGCACCCGTTTCCGCTCCGACTTTGCTCCATCGCCCCTCGCCTCCTTCCTTAGATTCATCGGTCGAACGCTCCTCGTAACGATATGCTGGCCCGTATCAGCTTCAGAATTTGATAATATTGCACTCACTGTGTAGACGAATCGGGTGCGGCGTGTCTGTCAAGGATGTATTCGCCAAGCCAACGCACGGCGCAGATCACCGCCAACCCGAACTGGTCCAACAAAGGCAAGAGGCGCAGGCGTGCTCGACCTTCCATCCTCGGCTTTGGCGAAGATAGCAACGACGAAAAGCTCCCGTCCACGCCTTTGAACCGCACGGCAGCACATAAGCATGTTGACGCCTTCTCGCCGTTCAATTATCGATCTTCCAACGACTCGCCACGAGCAGGCCATGTCTCCTCACCGTCCGTCATTCTCTTCAGCGGTCCAGACGACCGTGGCTTTGAGCGTGTTCACGATGACTCCTTTCCACAAGATCTTGCGCTCCTCAAGAGCATGGCAAGATCCAAGTTCAAGCTTACATCCGCCGCTCCCGTCGAGATGAGCTACGTCAACCCGGACGGTATCGTCTGCGATCTAGATGATGAACATGATCTCCGAGCTCTCGCGGTGCACGCAAGCCTCGCACCCAAGCTGAGAGTCCGCGTCACCTCCTCAGCGCACCCACAGGAAGCTGCATTATCCCAATCCGAAGCCGCTGCTCAACAAGCGCACGCTTCCACCAACGGCACGAGCATGGCGCACTCGAAAGGCAAAGCAACAGTCGCTCCAGCTCTGCTTGAAGCCTCGCAGAATGATGCTCCCAGCAAAACTGCTGTCATGGCAGCAGTCCCCGGCGAGTCAGCCTCTTCCGGGGCTAATGGACATTCGGCAAACGGAGCTACCCTAGCAAAGTCGCGTCGCAAGAGCTCTGCAAATGCTGGTCCGTCAACAACGACTTCGGCGTCCACCCACACTACCAAAGAAAGGCAGCCAGAGGTTGCTGGAAATGCAGCCACAATAGTGTCAAGTCTAGTTGCGGATTCGGCATCGCAGGCATCGTCGAGCATACCTAGCAAGTTTGCCGAGGCGACGCCTCTCGAAAACGTCGCCGATGCGGTTTCAGCATCACAGCCAGTCACACCTGCCGCCAAAAAGACGTCTGCCAAGCGCAAACGTGCCGACTTCTCATCACCTCCCTCAGCGTCCTCATCGGCTGCCATTCCTGACGCTTCGCCCGGCGGTCCGGTCGCCAAGAAGCCGAGAGGGCGCTCAAAGAAGTCGCTTCCGTCCGACATGGTTCCTGCCAACTCTCAATTGGCTTTCGCAGAATCGCAGGGCGGGCTGTCCCCTATACTCTCGACGTCAGAGATGCCCGCTCCAGCTGTGGATGCACTCGCTGCACCCAGAGATGCAAACGGCGTCAGTGCTGTTCAAGAAAACGCGCCGGTCGAGGCTCCAAAACGCGCTCGTGCGAACAAGCGAGTTGCCGCGGTCTCGTCCCAAACTTCCGAACAAGAGCTAATAACTGCCGACACACCCAAACGCGGCCGACCCAGAAAGAGTGTCCCGACAACGACTCTGCCTTCTACTCAAGACACAGCGGCTGGGCAAGAAGGAGGCGCCTTGGAGACGCCCAAAGGAGATCGCGCTAAGAAAGCTCCAGCATCAGCTGTGGCCGCGCCTCCTCAGTCAGACATCACGCCCCCAAGCGCACCGACCAATAACACCGAACCATCGACGGCGATGACCAGTATCGAGAGTCGTCCCGAGCCCACAGGCCCTCAGCTCAACGAATCAGCTGCAGTGGACCAACGGCAGCGCTCCGAACCTGCCATTCTTGATCCCATTCCAGTCCCGAATTCGACTCCAGCCGGCAAACCTCGAGGGCGTCCTAGCAAAAAGGCGATCGCAGAGGCCGAGGCCGCCGCCGCGGCCGCCGCTCTCAAGGATAGTCAAGAAGTCCCGTCTGCCACGCCCACAAAAGCGGCCACAGAGGAGCAGCCTTCGCAGGCCTCACAGCCTGCGATCACCCCGGCAAAGAAAGCTCGCGCGTCCAAGGCTGCAAAGGTATCGACGTCTGATGTCGTCGAAAGCGTCCAAGATAAGCAGCCCGACGCTCCTACCTCGCTCGACGTCGACTCTGCAGTTGCTGCAGCTGCTACTGATGTCGTCGTCGAAGCCCTCAGCGCCTCCGAAGCTGCACCTTCGCCCATGAAGAAGAAGGTCGGCAGACCCAAGGCTGTCAAGGCAACCAAAGAAGCTGCAGCATCGACGCCCACATCCAGCAATGATCCGCAATCAACGCCAGACGCCACGACCGAAACAAGCTCGAGATCTTCGTCCGATGCACCTTTGGCTGCAGTGCCCGCAGTCCCCAAGAAGAAGTTGGGTCGGCCGACCAATGCTGCCAAAGCGGCAAAAGCCGCTGAAGCTGCTGAGGCGGCTGCGAAGGCTGCGAAGGCCAAAGAGGTCGCCGTGGCTGCCGAGCCTGCTGCGGTGTCGCAGCCTGCAGTGGTGGCGGCACCAGCCGTTGAAGAGCAGGCACCCGTGCCGTCCGCATCCGCAAGCAGCGCCGTGAATCATGCAATTTCCTCGCAACTTGTTGGAGACGCAACGGCGACTTCGGAAATTGCTGCCAAGGATGCGACCCAAGTCGATCTTCCGAGCAGCTCAGTTCCGTCTGCACCAGATTCAACCCCAGCGGACGCATCCGCAGCTTCTCCTTCAGCTGCTACCAAGCGGGCAATCGCTGCCAAGGCCCGCGCTTCGAAGGCTTCTCGCAACACTGCTGCGAGCGAGCCTGTAGCGGCAATCGATGCGTGCATCGCATGTGGCGCAACGCCCTCGCACGACAGGGAAGGGTGCCCAATCTGGCAAGGCGGGTCGCAGTCGATCCTCGATCTGCTGGCGATGGTGCGCAAAAGGAAGCCCAAAAGTCAGAAAGACAAAGAGCTCACCAGACTGCTTACCGATTGGCTCGCCAAGCAATTTGGTGCTCCTACTATCGACTTCACAGCGAGCCAGGAATCGATCAAGCCTTCGCAAGAGGTCACGGCATCTGCATGCAAGAATCAGTCCGCTAATGCCGCGGCGAACGGCGCTGTCACACAGCCGGATTCAATGCAGGCTATAGCCGCAGAACCGAGCGACGCAGTGACCACCGCGTCTCAAAGCAAACAAGCGCCACCGAAAAGCACTGCCACAAAGCGATCCACCGCAAAAGCAGCTGTCTTGGCTCCTGCGACACCAGAGCCCGAATTGCCACCGCCATCTGGAATCGAAGTCTCGTCGAACGATGCAGCAGCACCCGTACCCGTCCCAGCTTCGCCTGCCAAAGCTGCAGCTCGCGGGGCACGCGGCAGCCAGTCGAAAACGGCGACAATTGCCGCCAAAGCCAAGGCCGCGAAGAAGAGCGCTGCTGAGCCATCAGCGGAGCCCAAGATCGCCTTGACACCTTCCTCGCCACCTCAACCAGAACCTTCGCAATCTCCAAATGCACCTGGCACCGGTCTACGAGCGCCTTCGGAATCTTCTGAAGCCGAGCTGGCAACGAGCCCGATGCTCTCGGCAGTCCCACGGGCAAACGGCGACATGGATGTCGATGAGATGCCTCCGCAGACTCCCTCTCAGCCAAACACGGCGGCACAGCAGCTCGAAGAGAGGAAGCGCAGAATGAAGCTCGCGGACCAAGCCGTCGCCGCTGCAGCAGCAACAACAGCCGCTGCTGCAGCCGATGGTGAGCGCGCCTCAAGCCCAGAGACTGCATCGACGTCGAGATCAAGATCAGCTTCGATCACCAGCTCAGACTCTTCCGGCGACGGTCGCAGCAGCGGCGACGATTCAGATGCACGCAGCGATGCTGATGCGGGCAAGAAGGGTAGACGGGAGGCAGCGAAGCAGGCAAAATTCACTTCGACCAAGGCAGCACGCTCTCGAGCAACGCCAGCCAAGGCGAGCCGAGCTGCAGCGAAAGAGACGGCCTCTTCGTCCGATTCAGAAACCTCTTCGTCGGATTCCGAGACGGAATCGGAGGCAGAGGCGTCCAAGAAGAGCACTCCACGCGCCAAGAATGGCGCCGCAGCGGGCTCCAAGGCAAAGACCTCCAGCACGAGCAGATCGGCGCAACGCCTCGCTGCACCAGACAATCCGTTCCTTCGCGGGCTGACGCCGCTATCGAGCCGACGAAGCAATGGCACGGGCAGCACGAGTCAGAAGTCGACGCCCTTCACGAGGCTTTCGGAGCTCAAGCCAGGCATCTTCCGCCAAAATATGTCGCAGCCAGGATCGCCGTTAAGCACGGGCGGATCCACGCCGCTGAGCGCTTCGAGCCAAACACCGTTCTTCGCCAGCCAGCCAGCGGCGAATGGGAACGGCAACGAGAGTGGCAGCGCACCAGACACGCCTGTAGTCTCGGCCGCTGCAACGTCGGAAGCAGCCACACCTGTGATCGCCTCGGACGCTGAAGATGACGACGAAGTTTCGTCTTCGTCGTCGTCGTCGTCTTCGTCCGAGGACGAGGCGCCGAGAAGCAGGGGTAAGAGGGCATCGGCTAGTAAGGGAGGAGGAGGCGGATCGACGGCGGCGAAACGCGCAGGAAAGCGTGCGAGTGGTGTTGCTGCGGCCAAGCCGGCAACTGCCAAGAAGCGGAAGAGCATGTTTGACGTGTTTGCTTGAGCGAGCTCCGCTGCCGATGCTGGGTTTCGTTATTGTATTCAGGTTGTAGCGATGACATATGTAAAGGCAGTAAGGATGTTTGTATCTCTGATCAGGGAGGTGTGTGCATGTGTGGTCTGACGAAGTGGGTTGGAAGATCAAGATAGCGTCATTTTGCATGCCGCTGCTGATACTGCCTATGCGGGAGGAATGTGGAACTAGTAGTACAAGCGTTGGATTCTTGGCTGTTCGCCGTTTTCCAGGAGCTTCTTTGGTGGAATTAGGATCGAGTGGGAGGTGAATTCGTCTGCGTAGTGGAGGAGGCCTACTTTGGGCATGACGTTGTATTTGAGGGTGAAGGTTGTGTTTGCGATGTCTCTGTGCAAAGGAGGTG